ATTTAGGGTTGGTTCTGATACCACTTGTCACGGGTCGAGACTTAAGCTTCGAATCTACGTGACTCCGAGACCTGGACATCCACTCATCCGATGTCTCAGATCAGTTTGACCGTCACGGTTCACACCCTTGTGAGGTATTGTCCGCTCTGACCCTCGTAACCTCACGGTTTTATCCTACAAAAGGTATCTCCCAAAGAAGAGTTAGTGTGAAACATTTTATATTCTAGTGACCTTTTTATTATGTTCGATTCGATGTGAGATTCAAAACTATTCCTTAAATCCGTGACATATTGACCTGACATAGATGTTTGGGTAAGCTTTTCATTTTTTAAATTTCTACATTTCAAATTTAGGTAATCATATATTTTAAACACATAAAAATTTATTTTTTAATAATATTTTTAAAAAATTAAAGATAGTTTTTATTTTATGTTATGCATAATTTTAACGATATAAATTTTATATAATAATTTATAAAATATTAAAAGATATTAAAAAAATTTATCAACTTTTAAATATTTAAATAAATTATAATCAAATTTATTTATAAATATCAAATAAATTTATTTACGAATATAAATAAATTAAATAAATTTTTATTTATATTTAATTAATAAAAAAATATCATTCAAAATCATCCATTCAACTTAATAAATAAAATTAAACATATTCATAAATAATTTGTCCAATCTCTGTTAATTTACACCTTAAGTGCAAATCGTACAAGTGACAGTATTTAAAGCCCAAACTTTGGAAGTGGTACCTCTGGCTCTTAATTACCACAGCTGTTTGGGAAGGAACAATTATTCTGGGATATATGCTTAAACTGCCACCCATCTCTCTAATTCCATATGCTGTGTACCTTTAACAACGCATAGAATTGTAATGCAAAGAGAATTCAGACGCAGAGCTTCCCACAAGGCTCTAGCTTGGTTCAATTCTTTCAATCCTTCTCGGTATGTCAATGTGTTGACGATAGATGCTGGAAATTGTTCAATGTTAATCCATAGTTTTGGTGATGGACGCTGGGGGATATCTGGGTTTCTTTTACTTTTTTTGAATTTTTGACAGGGAACTATAAAAGAGTTCATTTTTTTGACTGGTGATAGTCTGATCTGTTGAACGTGCTTTGCTCTAAGAGTAACATAGTTTGAATTTCATTCATAAAATTACCAAAAGGGTATTTTCTACTCTTTATGAAGGTTAAAGATTTGTATATATGTATTGAGAATTTGACAATTTCACGTCATTTTGTTCCTTTTTTTATGATGTGATGAAACTTATTTGCCACTGTTGTTGAATGTTTAGTTGGCTAATTTTTACATTTCTTTGTTTCAAGAATCTATTTTGCTGTGGTTTGTTCCAAAACTCAATACAGGGTTTTTTATATTTCCCAATTTTACCTATGGCAGGTCTCCTCATTCTTTACCTTTTGCAACTGTCGAAGCTGAAGGGATATCAGGTTCTCAACCTGCTGAAGTACTAAACTTGGGTAGGTATTCCTGTTGTATGATAAAGTATTTGCTATTCATAAATAAATCTTGAAAAATTATGTTGCCCCATGCTCCTGAGAGACATTTCATTCGAAAAATATTTAATTTGTTGTTTTGCCTCACACTTTGCTTCAAACTAATATCGGTTTCATTTCCCCATGGATCATGTTATGTCAGCATACAGGTAGGTGATAGAACTGTTTTCTATGGCCAAAAAAAAAAAAAAGAACTGTTTCCTAATCGAGTCCAGAAATAAGCAATTTCTTATAACATGGAATGCTTCTGTTTTTAGTGCAAGGTAAATGGACAGGATCTGCAGCTTGAAGCACTCTTGCGGATCCTTGGAATGGAGAACCATTCATTAAAGTTGCAGAAGTAGATGAAACTGGAATACAGGTATGCCTATTGGCCATTGGATATAATGTGTTTGATGCTTGTATTGCTTCATTTCTGACAAATCTCTGCTAGTTAAGTTTAAATTGTCTCAGCAAAAGCAGTGCATGTCTGGATCCTCAGGTTAGATATTCTTTTTACTCACGGTTGATTCTCATGATTGGAAAAGCACTTTCATGGCTTTATGTAATAAGAATAAATTTACTCCTCCTAGAACACCATGATCATCAGACCACTTGATTTCTATTTTATTTTAACAAAACATTACCATAAGTAGTTCACCTTTGTAGATGAGAGTAGTAATAATGCTAATGTATCTCATATAACTTGGAGAAAGAATTAAAATGATAATAAAAGAAGATCTGTCAGTCTCTAGCAGCTAGGTTCTCTGGTGATGTTGTCAGTTAAATGTCGTCAAGGCGTGATTTATTTGTTATTTTGTACTTGAAGTGAGCCATGTTTAACATCGCAGTGAATGATGAGGGATTTGTTTGCTATCATTTAATTCTGTTCATAAGTCTCTCAATGGCATTTGAATATTTTAGAACTTGATATTTGTTATGGTATGTCATCATATTTCTCATAGTTTCTGAAATTGAAAAAGAATAATTTGCAGGTCGCTATTATTACTCTCAATTTCCCACTGGAGATTCCTGTGCTTCAGCTGCTGGAAGCACTCTATATGGGCAACAAACCTGTTCATAAAGTTTATACCAAGGTCTATTACTAGAAGCTCAATTTTGTTTTCATTCATTGATTTGATTGGTACTTTGATGGTCTATTATGAGTTATATTTTGAAACGTTTTTCTGTAGGTAAGCATTGTCATGGAGAAAATGACATGCCTGCTTCATTATTGTGGGTTACCCGAAGAAGATATAGACTTCATAAATTCTGATGATAAGATCGTGAACAAACTGCTGATGGAGGTTTGCTTTGAATATAAATAGTTAATAATTAACTTTGTGTTTGGTTAGACAACTTGTAAGGAGCATAACCCTTGAATTACTTCTAACTTTTTTTTTTTCATTTTGTTTCAATTATTTCCCTTGTTTTTCCTTTTTTTTTTTAAGTTTCAATTCTCTTTAACTTACTTTTATCTGCCTTTCTTGAGCCATTTGTTGACACTTTTCCCAGCCATGTCCGAAAAGTTCTAAATGAAATGTCAAACAGCTTTGGATATTGTAGGATATTAGGATTAGGATTTCTTTAACTATTCAACCCCTTTCTTTCGACATCCAAGCTTAAGCTTTTGTGCCCTAGAGCAATTTTAGGAAAGGTATATTTCTTTTATTTGTTCCCTTCTTTATCTCTCTCTTAATTGTATGATACAGAGGAGTGAATTTGCAATTTGAAGCATTTGAACTTTTCTTCTGGATGTCAAAAAACATCTTGAGCGAGTGCATTTGATTATGGCAGTGATGGCAGCTGTTGGCCTTTAAAAGTTAATAGGTTTTTACTTTTAAGGGAGGTAAAGAATATGATAGTATAAAATAAAAAAAAAAGCAAGGCTGGATCAAGGGGAACACATGTAGGGGGTTAGCATAGGTGGTAATAGATTTTTGTTATGAGAGCAATACTTTTTGCATGTAAGCACCATTTCTCTTGTATAGAGATTTTTTCTTTTTTCCTTTTATTTTTGCTTCCATGGAAACCACTTGATTTTTGAGAAAGGCTACTATATATATATATAAATATATCTATATATATATATATGTATATGTATATTTGTTTAAGGAGAAAAGCTTTTCTAATATTGTTGTACTTATGCCTACTAGCTCATGATGCTTCTTTTATGCAGGCGAACCCATGAATGACCCTCTTTCCGGGCAGCTCAATAGTGGCAGAGACATTGGCTATTGACCTGAAGGATCATGTAAAACTGGAAGATGCAAGATTTGATTGGAAAATTCTTAGACCTGATGTTGAAGAGGTTCCTCATAAACAAATTTTACACTTGTATATTCAATTCTTCTGGATATTTCAATGTCTTCTGATGGAAGGTTGATTATGTTACATGGATCTGCGACCACAATGCATATGCATGCAGTGGTCAAAAGTGCTGCGCTCAATCAATACTATTCATGCATGAGGTCAGTGACGTTCATTTGGAATTTTTACATTAGTTTAGCCAGCTATCACAAATGAATATATAATCCAAGAAAGAAACTAGATTACACTTCATTCTTATATATATATATATATATATATATATATAGCAAATTTTCTATTTTTGATTCGTAATGAAGTTTTTCATTTTTCTATTCTTAGTAATGTGTATAATCTTTTATTGGTCTACAAGTTCACTCATATCTAAAATAAGGGATCTTGCTGAGAGAAGGAACTGTTCTTACAGTAAGTATGCTTCAGCAAGAAAGTATGCTTCATTTGTTGTATTTTATTTTCTTATTATCAATAGGGATTTACTGAAAAAAAAATACTTACATTCTATCTATTTGTTATTTAGGGGTGTAAACGAACTAAATATGGATGAATTTTGCTATATTCGTGATCTGTTTGTTTAATTAACGAATTATGAAATATTGTTTGTTATCGTTTATTAAACTTAATAAATAAGTATAAACGAATAGAAATTGAATTTGTTCATGAATTAATTGTATACGTTCTGCTCATTTATATTTTTATTGTTATTCACTTAAGACATATAGTGATTCCTATTAAAAAAATTGAAATTGAAATTAAAGCAAATCCTTTCATTGATCATATCAAGAAATAAATTTGGCTTTTAGGATGATCAAGAAATTCCTAAAATTTTACTGTTGGTCAAATGAGTTAAAATAACAAAGGTAGTTCCTGCTTAGTTGAACTTGATTGGATTATTATCTTTCTTACATTAATGAAACTAAATACTATTGATTGATTTAACTTAATAATATAACTTGTTGATAGTGTATATTTTCAGCAAACAATCATATGATCTGTTGGTAGAATCCTGGACTCTTAGTTCCATTGATCAGGGTTTAATTCTTGATAATTTCAAATATCCAAGGAAAAAAAATGAAAAAGCATGGCGTTCCAGATTTTATTCATAGTTTTCCATTTCTGCTAATATTTCTGTTATCTGTATAAATTGTTGCAAGTCACAACTGAAGCAATGTTGGAGCACAAAAAGAAATTGCTTCAAATTTCAGGTTCTAAGTTACTTTTTGGAGGAGAATCCTTAGAGAATCATTCTTTTCCACCTATATATGGTGTTCTGAAGCCAACCGCCATTTACATTCCCGTTGAAGAAATTTTAAAGGAGGCTAATTATGAACTTGTAACCAAAAAATTTTTGGGCCATTTCAGGTTTAACCGTACAAGTTAACATGCAAAAGATGGAATATTATCCTTTTAATATTTGCTGAATAGAGAAGGTACAAATATTGATCAATGCTTTTGCTTGTAGATTGTAACTGATTCTAAGAAGGATCAATTATCGATGGTTTTGGATGCTTTGGATCGAATGCGTGTACATCTAACTGTTGCCATCGTCTCAAACGATCCCATCTTCTTGCAGGTAGGCAGGTAAGACTTAATCATGTTCAATTAATAGTTTTAATCAAAGAATGAAATTTCAAAGTTTAGAACTCTGAACTTGAATGGTCCATTATTTGACTTAAAAATCATTTTCATGAATAACACTGGAGGAGGAGATGAAAATAGAAGGAAACCTATATTTGGTACAAGGAACAATAAATGGAAAGGAAAGAGAAGAAAAAAGTTGAGGATGAAGCCATAAACAAGACAACTTTTACCTTGACCTTTCTTTTCATTTCTTTTTTTTAACAAAGGAGGCTATAGCTTGAGAATATAATAAGGGATTGAAGGTGTTAGAGATTTCAATCTTAAACTTGCCCAATGTTAACTCTTAAGATAGTTACATAAATTAACTGTTTAGTTCTTTTCATCCTCATTGTTTCATTCTTAAGAAACCCAGTTTAAGTGAATCTAAATTGCAATGGGTGTGGTGAAGCTTCGGACTGGCTGGAGATCCTAGAGGAGCAGGAATTGGGGATTCAGAAGCAATAAAGCTTTGTTTGGTCATGTCACAGGGAAATCATATATGATCTTGGTCCCTTGCCAATGGATTGGCAAATTCCACCCTCAACTTGAGGATTGAGGAGTGTATTTAAAATTAATACTTGGAGCTTCATCTATGTACTCATTAGCAAACGAGAGGGAAATTTTTTGTAGTTCCCTTTTTTTTTTCTCAAAAACATAAAAATAAATACTTTGACATTTTTAAATCTGAGTCTAGTCTTAGTTTCAGGTAGTCTACATTAGATGCTCATATAAACTGCATGAGGATCCCCCCAACTGCATTCAATGGTTTCTCTGCTTTTTTTTTTTGTTCTATTTTCAAAATCCATATGGACCAAATATACAATCTAGGGATATCAATACATTTAAACTATAAGTACATTTTTTTGTAGTTTTAAAGGTTTTCCCCCTCTTTTTCTTGAGATTCTTTTAAGTAAATAAAAAATCTTATTAATTTTGAGTACTATAATTTACTATAAATTATAAAGAGAGCTATGTTGAGCTACTTTTATCTTATGAATCTTATACTTAACATATGCATTTCCCTTCTCTTGATTTGAATTTAATTAAAACAAAAAAAAATCATTAAGCTAAAAAAAAATCTGTAGCTTAAATTTAGATATGATAAAAAAAAAATCTTTAAGGTATGATAGTTGGCCTTATTTCTGTTTGATATTCATGGATAGTTGAAGCATTAACTGTTTTGAAAATTTGTAATGTATTTCATTTCATATTACTTAAGGGATGAGGAGACTAATGTTTCAAAATCATCAAGTTCAGCTAGAAGCAAGAAAACAGTGATGGAGCACTGTTACGAACCTGAAATGGTGGAGGTGAGCTAGTCATTTATATAGAATGGGCAACCTGGTTTGATGCTTGTGTTGGAATTTGCATTTATGTACATTTTTCGATGTTGGATTTTGAGTTGCTTCTGAAAACATCTAATCTTAGATTATTCTGGCAGATTGGACAAAGTCTCCAATCAGGGAATGTGCTTAGTCTCTTGTAAATTCATGCTGAGTGCTTTATCTTGAGCTTCATCCAATTAACATTACTGTTTGCTGAACTGATTTTGATATTTGTTTGGCATACCTTGCATAAAAGAAGGCTTAGCAATACATTTGAATTTTAAAGATCAAAACAGTTATAAAGCATAACTATTTTAAAGATTTATCCTCATATTTTATGCTTACTAAAAGGGGAAAAAACTCCTCAACATTAGAAATGTCCAACTAAAAGCATTTTCAAAATTCTAGTTCAGCTATTGGTAAATAATCACGAGCTTTCTAGAAAATTCTCATGCATTTAAATATGAATACATGCATGCATGCTGGCAACCCAGTATTTTTATTCCTAATGGTGCTATTTCTTTGCTTATGCATAATACCTGCTCTTATTGTTTTAACCAGAATTTGATAATGTAAATATGCTGCAGGCCTATCGAGAAAGCATGTTGAAAGCATTTAAGAGGATCCTTGAAGATGGCATCTTTAGTTTTGTCATTTGTATGGTTCTTCAAATGAAATTTTAGGCTAATGAAGGCAGTGATTTTTATCTTTGCTCTAATATTGTGGTCATTTTATTTGTTAAGGTGGATTAGAAGATGTTTGTTGTTGAAATTTTTCATTTTTACTAATGTGGTTACATGTTTCCTTTTGGTCTGATGATTTTGAGGTTATGCCTACTTTTTATTTTCAAATTCTTCTATTCTCAGTGGTAGCATAAAGGCAGATACATATCTCTCCTCCAGATTGTGGGTTAATGTAACTGCATTAGTTAAATATGATTTAGAAAACTGAGGATGTCCTTTCTCATTATTCTTTCCAAAGGAGAGAAAAAAATGGGTCAAGGGAATGCACAGGCTTCATTAGCTTAAAAAATTAAAGATTCTCCCAGTTATGCTGGTTTGTTACAGCATTTAACCACATAAGTGATCTAGTTTCATTGGCATTTAAGTGGTCATGCAGTGCCCATGCACTGCTTACATTTTCAACTATCTACAGTGCAGTTTTTGTTCGGCAATTGATCCTTTTCTTGCTGGAATGTGTGCTTCGTCTTAGTGGTTGACCGCAATCTGCGGGTACCTGATTTTGCTCCATTTCGGGCAGTTGGAAAGGTATACTCTCAATTCTTTCTAGCACCCTCTCTGCAAGAGTATTCTTTGCGAATACTTTAAAGGTGTGCTGGTCTTCATTTGGGTCTGCTTGTACTTTGGTAGCATAAACATTAATATGCTGCATTTGATGTTGAGTTTTCTTCCTTTTATTTTAAATTTAATTAAGCTATAGTTTTTCAAAAATTTTGTTTTACTTGTAAATTCTTCTCTATTTTCGGTCCCAATTTATTAATGTAAATTTTTGTTTGTTCTCTATCAAGGCAAAGATGATTTTATGCTGAATATTTACTTTAACTTATGGAAAAAAGTGTTAGCCCTCAAGGGGAGGGTAATGTGATGTTATCATCCAATTGGAGGAATGAAGAAATTGGGTTGAAAGATAAAAAGGCCTGGGCTATAAAGGACCATGAATTTATTGAGGGTTGTAACCCTTATACTGCTATAAATGCATATGCCCCAAGACCCAAGATTGAACTGCCCAATTTTGATGGACATAACCCAGAGGGATGTAAACTTTTCCCTTAAATCTCAATATTCCATTAGCAAATGAATAATGAGAATCATTATCAGAGCATACTGAGAGCATTGTAATTTTCTCCTGAGCCACGGCATCTCCCTCATAACCCTGTTCAATAACTCAAAGAAGCCATGAGTACAGTCTTGTCCTAGTGTTATCAGATTTTTCTAAGCCTTTTTGTTTGGAGACTGATGCTTGTGCAACTGGTATAGGAGCAGTCTTTATCTCAAGAAGGAAGACCTGTAGCTTACTTAAGTAGTGCCCACCTTAGAGAGAAATATGTATATAAGTAATCCTCTTGGATTTGTACTTGGAAATCTTTGGCTCTGCCATTCATTCTTTCTTTTTATTTTTAATGTTGTTTTCTTGTCCCCTTAGCTTGGAGTTTCTGGGTTGTGTTGGAAAATGCAAAACAGTTGATGTTTTCATGAAAACTGTATGTCTTGTTACCCAAAAATCATCGTTCTTTATAACTTTCATTTCTATGGTAAAGAAATAATTTAGTTGAAAAATGAAAACGCAAATAAGGAAAAGAAAAATAGGAAGCAATGGGCCATGCCTGTAATACATGTAATTCAAGGCCATTGGTGTCATCCATAAAAGGTGTAACCCTTGTTGTGCAGCATTGATCATAAATCTTTCGTGTTAGTTTTAATAAGTTAACCTTTTTGCTATTAGTTAACAGTATACTTTTATGCTTTTGAATAGACTGTTGACATATTATTGACATATTTTGAAATGTAGCTGATGACATATTGTGCCTTCTACCAAAACTGAATATGTGGATGCTTACAGTATTATCTAGAATTTCATTCTAGTATACTGAATTATTACTGATATTCCTTGTATCTATATGTTGCCCTGTTGGACTTGGGGTGGGGAATAGCCTACATTATGGTCCCGGGTATTTTTCTTGCCAATGCTAGTAGTTTGCAGGTCTAGTTCTAAGTTAAGTCCTTCCTTATTTTCTCAGTATGAGCATGAACACTTGTGTTCATGCCAGTTTTATTTCTCAATGGTCTATTATTATTATTATTGATGGAATTTTTTGTTTATGGTGGAATGATAGAACACATTCAAATACTTACTGCACATTTTGCATTTGCTTTGGTTTTCTGTATGTGAATGGTTTAGATAATACAATGAATTTGCTAAGAGGTAGCTTTTAGGTTGTTGGAGGTTTTCCCTTTGTTGCTTACCATTCTTTGTTCTGACAACCCATTATTGTTGTGTTATTATCAAAAAATTGGAACAATGTTTTGATATGCAAAAATGATTTTTTGAATCAGTTGTCACAATCTTGGAAGAAATTGAATCTCTTCTGAAAACTTTTCATGGAATTTTCATCTATCCATAAAGAAAGTTCTCCAGGACTTCAAATCCCAATCTGACTGTTTGCATATATAATTTCTGAACTTGATCCTTACAGGTGCAGCATAAGACTACTAATCACGAACCTTTTGTGCATGTTATTTAATTGATGTTTTGTGCATTATGTTTTTAATGATAATGACCATTAAGTTATGTTAGTTGGTTCCTTTTCCGTTTATTAGTGTTCTTTTGATATTTTTCCTTGCTTTCTTTTCAGGGATCGGGTTATGAAGTTTATGTATTAGAAGCTACATACAAGGATCCTGCGGTGAGTGTGTGTATAATTTACTTGCTTTGTGAGATTTTTGCACATTTGCCTGATATGTGTGTGGTGTTTATTTTCTAATGTTGCACTTGACAAGTTGCTGATGGTTTTTGTATAAACTGAACAAGATTTCTTTCTTACTCAATTGTGCCATAAAGCTGATAATTATGTTAAATTTCAGGGCTGTGCAGCTAGGAATGTGCATGGTTTTACCCTAGATGATATCCAACAGATGGCAGGACAATGGAAAGAAGCTCCATCATTATACTTGCAACTGGACATCAGGGTTTGTTACTAAGCTTTCACTTTTAACTTTACAGTTAAAACTTTGGAAATTCAAGTAGAAAACAAACATCATAGTTTGGAAATTTTAAACATAAATTCAGGCTGGTGTCTTCAGTAAGTTAAAAAGAATTTGGAAAAGTCAGTTACTGTGACATAATACCAACAAAAATATTGTAAATTCTTCTAAATGCTGTATTTTGCTGGTATGACAGTCATTATCTCATGGAGATGACCTGAAGAAGAGTGGTATTCGGGAGGTAATTGACTTTTATATAATGCAAATTCTGACTGATAGCTTAATTCTATTTGGCCTTCTACTTACAAGATGAAAAAGTTTGAGCTTTTTCATGACATATATATGGGTAATTATTTTTGCCCATTTTTTATTTCTTCCCTTACTCACTTTTTATTCCAAATGTTTCTTTGTAAGTAATATTTGTTCCTGCCTAAACAGAAACTTACGCTTAACCTTATTTTATGAAAGGGAAGATAGGGTGTAGTTGGAAAGTCACTTGGAAAATCTCTTTATAGTAACATTGTGTTGACACTGCAACAGTTATGCTATTTTCCTTCACTCTACTAGGTAGTAACACTGACTAATTAACATGTGATTTTGGAGTTGGAATTTGAACTAGTTTAACTTGACTTGGTTTCTCTTTTTATATCAGCCAGGTTGACATGGACATGAAAGATGGAGATCATGAAGAAGGATTATCAGGACAGCAGGAACAAAAGCCTGAGAAAATGAACTTACCAGCTGTCAGAGATCTTGTACCTGAAGGTATATTTCATCTTTTTGCTTTGTGTGCCTTCTGAATCAGTTTGCATTCAACATTGCGTTGTAGTTGTCACTTCACCCTCCGTTAGGAATTACATGCATATACGTGTACATTATCACACACTGACTTATTTATTTATACATGAAGTACACATTTACATAAGAATATTATCTGTTTGTTTTAGGTTTTATGGCATCCTATTTTCTTGATTTTTAGTTGCATCTCAGATGAGTTCTGATACTTTGGGTGTGCAGCCTGAAGCATGAACTATAATGTATTTTGTTTCTCAAATCCAAGATTTTTCGAGTTGCAGTTTTTCACATGTTTGTTAGCGGTACTTGCATATATTTTCTAGTTTTGAGGTTATGCTGTCTGGGATAATGGTTGCTGTATTTTTGAATATGTCTTCCGTGCTCATCACTTTGAAATGTGGATTTGGGTTTCAGATTAATTAAGGAAGAGAGATTTCCATTACTGAATTAGCATAAAATACCTCATATTTTAATCTTGCTCTACATCCAAGACTTCTTTATTTATAGGATTGGCCTGGGAAGTTCTCACTTTATTGATTGGTTGTATCATAAGGGTTGAGGATTCTAGAATGCCAATAATTCCTGATTTATGTGCTAAGTATATAACTCTGTACTGTTCGATTGAAGCTACTAATGGCAAAATTCCTGAACAATTTGAAGCTAAACTAGGAGGGAAATGCTAGAAACCTAAGGGCAGGAGATAGTGAGATGAAAATTGGGGTACTTAGTTACAGTACTCACAAAGTTTATGCGCATTATTTATTATTGATGTAATGCTATTGGCAGGTGTCATTTGTTTTTCTTCTTTTAGCTTTCTTTGGAGGCCAGAGGTTTTTCAAGACTAAAGCTATTTGTACAGTTTTATAGAATACTAGCTTTTACTATATGCGCAAATTGCACAGGCTCCATATTGCATGTGGTGTTATCAATTAAAAAAATGAAATAGTATTTATATTTTGGTTAAAGCTAACAAAGTTTCAATTAGACTATAAGTTTTTCATATAGATGATTTTTTATCGAATAAAAAGTAGTGATTTGGTTAGACCATAGCACAACTTTAGTTGAAAGTAGTTCAAGTAAGCTCTATTAGTAATAAATGAATAAGGATTATAAATGAATTTGAACCTTCACAAAAGTTTATTTCCATGTGATAAATTAATATTGATGAGTAAAAAACATAAAATGTAGTGATGCAATTAAACTATTATATTACTTGAAGGTAATTCAACTAATTTTAACTCTTACCATAAAATTTTATTAGAAGTAAAAGTGATGAGGGTAAATTTGTCTTCAAAATAGGTTCCACACGACATTTTCATATGGTATTGATATTCTGTGTTTTCTGTTTGACACTTTATATTATTCGATTTACCTATTACTTCAAGGTTTAGATTCTTTAAAAGATGAAAAGAGATGGGATGCTGAGGGGGACCATCCTGTGGAGGTAAAAGAATTAAGTAGGAGTAAATGGTCAATTCATTTGGATGAAGATGAACGTGAAGGATCAGAAACTATTAAGGAAAATTTGAATGCTCTCTCCGGGTTGATCCAAGCATGTGGGAAGAAAGGAAAATCTGTGCATTGGAGTGACAAGGTATTCCTTGTATCGCACAACATATCTTTTTAGTATTGTAAATGCCAGTGTTCTGTGTTTGGCCCTAATGTTTTAAGTTCCTGCCTCCCCCCATTTAATTTACTGAGGAAACAATTGCTGAACATGTTTTTCTGTATGGTAGACATTCACGCAGGTCTGCATATATATTTGTATATAGATGAATGTGGCTGTTGTGATATTTCAGCCAATGTAGGTATACTGTTGATTAGGGAGCCATATAACGTATCCTTGTCCACCTACAAAGCATCGACACAGACACTAGATATGGGTACAACATGATACAAACACCGTGACTCAACATATGTTAAAAAATTGGGATACAACATGGCAATAAAAATATATTAAATATATTTAATTAATTTTAGCTAAGTATACCTAGAATGTCTTTGAAAGTTTTTTTGTCATAATAAGTTCTTAAGGTAAATTTGTTAATATTTTTGAAATTATCTTTTTAAATAGACTTATAGCCCTTCAAGTTTGGGTTTCAAGCTATTAAAGCAGAATTCCAATGGGTTACTTTTTGTCTTACTCTACCCTGCTTCCCTAGCCACTGACTTCTTTATTACCTGCCTCTAACTTTTCAAACCCAGCGGCCCCGTCATCATTTTTCTGTCTGTTGTTTCTTTGATTTTGGCTCAAATCAAAGTTATTGGTGTATAGCAGTCATGGATATCAAGCTCCCAAGGCCAAATCATACTTCTCTTGCTTTATTTTTTGATTATTTCTATTTGTGTTCTCAAAATTTTAGGTTAGGACGGTGCCTTTACCTCCATCGCTTCCTTAATGGCAATGTCATCCTATGTTTTCATTTGGTTTTGTTCTGAATTTTTAGTGCATATCGCTCTGTGCGAATAACAAGTTATTTTTTCATAGCTGGCCGCATTCTATATGTATTTCCACGAATTGAAGGCATCTCTTTATGGAACATGACATGAGGGGGTTGAGTCTTGTCCGTGTTTCATAATCAGCTATTATTGATGACATCGTGTTGTTTTTCTGTGCATTCTTCAGCCCTTCAATACAAAATTGGCATGTAGCGTCTAGCAGTGTTGCTTCTTACCTGGGAGGATGAATGACCATGGATCATTGTGATGAAATTATAGGGAAAGATCACTTAAATGTTTTACTATAAGTTGTCAGTTTGATGAGGTCAGTCGATCAACAGAAGAAAATCTTTTAAGGGCCTAAATATAGATAATCTGATGAGATCTGTTTCAGAGCAATGGTATTTCCCATAGTTCGGCAGGAAAACTCCCGGCTAGGCAGCTGTCTCCCAATTTTTGTTAAAAAAAAAAAACTTTTGTAATTTTATTTTTCTGTTTTGAATACGTGTTTCCTCTAATTAGTTCTGTTTGATAATTTAAAAAATAAAGGTTTCTGCTATGAATCTCGAACGAACCCAACCATTTGCATTAGTTTCACGTCCATGTCCGACTTGGACACAACTCCGAATACATGTCGGATGCTACCTTATACAGCAAAAAGAATCATTTTTGTATGGACAAGGCGACTGGCACTAAAAATTCAAAACAAGAAAAAAAAAACTACTGGCATTGATGAAGCTATGTGACAGTGGCACAGCCATGACATGAAATTTGGATATCGCAAACAAAAATAACAAATATAAAGGGAGAGAAGTAAGGTTTTACTGGCTGTCGTGGTTTTCATGGCTGCTTTATTCTAATAATTTTAATTTAAGCTTAAACTAGAGAGCTAAGGAGAGAGGAAAAGAGAATGCGGTGGCTCAAGGAGTGGGTTTAGAAAGAGAAGAAGGTAGGTTACTGAAAAAGTCTGTGGCTAGGGAACTAGGGGTGAAGTAAAGACAAGAAATAATTAATTAAATTTAATTAAAATATATTGGATATACTTTTTTAAATTTCCGTATCCTTGTTGTGTTGTATCCTAATTGTTTTAAAAAATCCCATGTCGCCATTTTCGTATTATGTTGTAGCTTATCCCGTGTTCATGTTGGTGCTTCATAGGTTTTGTACGTTTTCTCGGTGGCTTTCAGCAGTCTTATTTATTTTGCTTATTTTCCAAGGCGGTGACACCGGGTTCTCGACAGGCACAGCTAAGAAGGCGAAAATGATGTGATTGGTTGTGCTAAGCACTTTTAAGGGAGTCGTTAAGGTGTTCTAATATTGTATCGGCCAAGAAAGAAAAAGTTATTGAGCATATAAACTGTTATAATGAATAAATTTATAGATTTATTTTAAATATTATTAATTTTTTATTTAAATACGATTAATTATTTAATAAATTTATTTATTTAAAAAAAAATTTTAAACTTGATGAATATCTTTAAAATAAAAATTTTAGTCCATGAAATTAAAAATAAATTTGAAAATACGATTATATGTAAAAAAAAAATAATATATTTATAACATCTATTTAAAAGATGATATTAATTTAATTTTGTTTTATTCAAATTTTAAAAAAAAATCTTATAATATAATTAATTATTAAAAATTATTCTTAATTTATTTTAATATTTTAATAATAAATTAAAAAAATCTTTTTATCTCAAGATTATACAAAAAATAAATTTTTTATAGAGATTTTATCATTGAATTATTTAACATGTCTTATTTTATACATTTTGAAAAAATTAGATTTCAAAGAATTTTTGATATTCTAATTTTTCATTAAAAATCTCGAAATTAATTTTAAAAAATTTTGATATTTTAATTTTTCTTTAAATCTTTTAAAATTATTTTTTAGGAAAGATTAATATTTTAATTCTTTCTTTTAATTTTTTTAAGAATTATTTTTGTTTTAAAGAAAAAATTAATAATTCAATTTTTTTAAAAAAATTAAATAGAAAATTTAATATTTAAATAAAAATTGATATTTTAATTTTTTTTCTTGATTTTGTTTAGAGAAAAATATAATATTTTAATTTTTTCTCAATTTTAAAAAAAAAAATTATTTAAGAAAAAATTGATATTTTAACTTTTTTTTTTCAAATGTTGGAAATTATTTTCTTTAGAAGAAAATTTGATATTTTAATTTTTTCTTCCAAATTTTTTGAAATTTTATTTTAAAAAAATTAATAGTTTAACTTTTTCTTAAATTTTTAAAAAATTTTATTCAAAAAAAATAAATAAATAAAAAGAAACATATAAAAATATTAAATTAATAAATAAATTTAAAAAATCAAAGATGCCTTGGCTCGGCTCAAGAATCTACTCAGTGACTCGATTGCAGACTCAAGGAACGGCTCGCGGCTCGGCTTGGTACCTGCCGCTGTGTATAAATGGTATCAGAGCCAGGTCTGAAAGGGTGGTTTGTCTTTCTTAGGATAAATGACATAATAGTCAAACTTTCCTGAGGGTTCACCAAGGAGATCAACTTCAGGGTCTCCATTTTCATATCTTTCTTTGAGCTTTTGCTGAGAAGACTTTTTCTTCTTTTGCTTCTTTGGAATATCATCATCATCATCATCCAAGAAGCTTTTATCTGCATCGATCTGGCATTCTTTGCATTGACAATTTATGTCCCAATAGCAATGTCCTGTTGGAGATTTATATGCATACATGGGATTTCCATTAGACTGAAAGTGTGTGACTGGAACATCAAGGAGATCAGCATGGCATCTTTGCATTATAAACTGTGTTGGAAAGATTGTTGGAGGAGGAACATCCTTTTCTTTGCTGTGATCAAATTCAATTGTGACAGTACCATCCTGGTTTGTCTTGTAGGTTGGATCAAAGTGTTCAATTGGCTCATCGTGTTTCCAAATCTTTTGATAAGTTGTCGTCCACGTCTTTGGGAGAAGGGTGGCAAGTTCTTCATTGGAAATCTGTTTTGGAATATGAACATGTTTGGGAGTTCTGTCTGCTGTTTCCATTTTAACAAAAACTGCATCACTGGAGTGTAAAAGAGGCAAGTTAATGGCATGATCTTGAACTCTGTATGCCTTTAAAGATCTAGTAAGAGAAAGAGAGGAGTTTGAGAAAGCTGTATAAGGATTTACAAGAGGTAAGACTATTTTTTGGGTTTTCTTTTCTTCTGGAATATAATCTACTTCATATAAGAACTTAAGCTTAGAAGAGGAGGACTTTTTAAGTACAGGAGAGGGAGGAGAGGATAGACTAAAAGAAGATCTAGAGGAAGAAGATGGTTGAGAACTAGAGTTGCTAAGAGTGGATAGATCCATGAAAGTAAGACTCTCTTTTGGCTTTTCCTTTTTCAATTTTCCAATAATCAAATCTTTAGAAACATACTTCTCTTCTCACTATCTTGGCAAGTTGTTAGCTCTGATACCATTTATACACATTTATACACAGCGGCAGGTAGTACGGCCAAGTGAGTGTGTAGTTTTTGGATGTATTCTGGAGGTTACCACCACCATGGTTCTTTCTTGAAAGGAGGAAGTTCTGCAGGGACTGGGAGGTTGTTGATTTTACAGAGTCTTTTTAACAGGAGCTTGTATTCATGAGCATAGAGAAAGATAGAGTTGTACAGAGAGTAGGGATTACACACATACATGTCTGAACGGGGTTGAAAGAAAACATAATTTTCAGAAAGGTTACAAGGTCGATAGAAGAAGAAGATAACATGGTAATGGGAAGAAAAGTGTTGGGTGAGAGAAAACCAAGTATGGAGGGGTTTAAACCACTTCAAAAAGGTTCCTAAATGAACATGAGCTTCATAAAGGAAGTCATTATTAGTGAAAGTGATTGTGGCAAAGTTGAGTTCAAAAGAGTTAAACTCAATAGCAATGGTGTAGAGTTGGCATAAATACCATAAAAGAACTAAGGCTTCTTTGAATAAACTTGAGGTATGAGGGATCTGAAACAGGTGTAGAAAAGGGAACTGAGGATGAAAACCAATGGGTCTGAGACCATGATCACCGCGTTTTCTGATGAGGATAGCCTGTATTTTATAGATGAGATCATGAGCACGTCTTTCAAGTGTCTTTTTGGTAATGATCTGCTGGATTTCAGAAGGTAGATTGTGAACTGGAAAAACTGGTTGAAATCTAGATCTGGAATAAAGGGTTTGTATTTCGGGGTGTAAAGGTAAGGGAAGAGAAAATGATTGGTGATCGTTTGAGGAACAGGTTCAAAAGAGGGTAAAGGTAAAGGTAAGGAAGACATCATGCAAAAGACTGGAATAACCTGAAAGGTGTTTGAATGAGATTTCGAAGGAGGTCTTGTGAGCATGTCTGGGATGAGGTTATCTTTTCCTTTTATATGCCTGGTGGTGAAGGAGTACTGTGAGAACTACTGTGATAGCCTGAGTAACTGTGCATTTGGTATTTTCTTCTTTTTGAAATTAAGCATCTGATCAAAGGCTGACATATCTAATTCCACGAGAAAATGAAATCCAATGAGGTGAAATTCAAATCTTTGGATACCATACTTTACAGCTAAAATCTCTTTTAGTGTAGAGTGATAATGGAGTTCCGAATCTTTGAATTTTCCACTTTTGTAACCACAGATATGTCTAGTTCCATCTTTTTCTTCTAAAAGAATTACTGACTAGAACTGTTCACTAGCATCTGTCTGTAATATTCTTTTACTATCTGAAGGAATCTTTAAAGTGGGAAGTGACTTTGCTTTTATCTTCAAGGCTTGTACTGCTTTTGTCTGAATCTGAGACCACGTGGGAGGTTCTTTTTTGAGCATTTGTCTGAGTGGATATGTGAGCTGGGCAATATCTGGGAGAAATTCATTCATGTAGTTGATTATACCAAGAAATTGCTGGATCTGCTTCTTTGAGAGATTTGCATCAAAAAAATCTGCAAGTGACTGAGCAATATGAGGTTGAGCAATGTACTGACCATCTTTGAGATGCATGCCTAAGAAATCAATTTCTGTAGCACCAATGAGCATCTTTTTCTCTGAAAGCATTATCCCATACTGTTGAACTATGCGCTGGAACTTATCCAATAACTGTGCATGAGATGTATCATCAGGAGAGAATAGTAAGATATCATCGATGTAAATTAAGGCATTATCAAGAATTGGAGCAAATATCTTGGTCATGGCTTTTTGGAACAGTGAAGGAGCAACTTTTAATCCAAAAGGCATTACGGTCCACTGAAAGTGGTGTTGAGGAATGCAAAACGCCGTTTTGTATCTGTCCTGTGGATGTATACCTAGTTGCCAAAATCCTGCCTTGAGATCAAACTTTGAGAAGACTTTTGCATTTGCTAGATTTACGAACAAAGTTTTTCTGTCTGGAAGAGGGAACTTATCATCTGCAAGGAAAATGTTAAGAGGCTTGTAGTTGATTACCAATCTGAGTTTTCCACGAACTTGTTCTGAACGTTTGTTGACATAAAACGCTTCACACGCCCATGGAGAAGAGGTTGGTTCAATTAATCCTTGAGCCTGGAGAAGGGAACATTCTTGGATTGCTTGTTTGAAATGATCTGGGTTCATGCCTGAATGACTAGCTTTTGTAGGATTGGCATTTTCATCTTTCTTGAAGGGAAGGAAAATGAAAAATTCAGGGTTTTGCCAAAGTGGGTGATCACATTTCTGGAGAAAATCTGAGTGAGTTTCTGCACATGAAAAGTGAATGAACTTGTGTTTGAAATCTTGAAAAACATCTGGTTGAAGGGTAAGGGTAAAGAGGTTGGGAAGGTTTTTTCAAGGTCTGAAATAACTTTCAAATTTGATACCATTTCCACTAACCTTTAAACCTGGTATACTGGTTATAATATCAAAACCAATAACAAGGTCTTTCTGGGGAAGTGGAGATCCTAAAATCTTTTGAGTTATTCAACATCCTGGAAGGATTTGAAGGGTAACAGGGTTGCTGACAAAGTTTGTAGAAAATACATTTTCATCAGAGGGTTTTGAAGAAGGTTTTCTGTTTTGTCCAAAAGTGTTTGGGTAAGACAAGAGGGTTTGCTATGGTTTGGGCTGCACCAGTATCAAAGAAAGCTGTGATTGTTGTAGGAGGAGAATGTTTGTGAGTGAAAATCTGAACTGGAGCTAGGGGTAATTTTGGAGGTTGAATGGTTTGGATTTTTTGGAGTTCTTGAACTGACATATACTCATAACATTGATCATCTGTGAAATCATCTGAGTATTCTGAGTAATCTGAATCTGCATACTCATCAGCATCAAACTACTTTATCATAAACAGGGATCTTTCATTCTGCTCATCATCAAGAGAGAAAATTGATTCAAGATCATCATCTGAGAGATTGATACCTGAGATATTGGCAATGTCTTGGATCATCTTGACTGATTTTTTGTCTGACTTTGGGCAGTTCTTTAAGAAATATCCCGGTTTTCCACAGAGAAAATATTTTGAGCTTTTGATCTTTGGGTCTTTCTTCTTTCTTGCAAATTTGAATCTTTGAAATCTTCTGAGTTTATCAGCATATCTGAAGAATTTCTTGTGTCTGGGTCTGGAGATTTGTGGAGGTCTGGAAGGTCTGAATCTTCTGAAATGTTTCTTTTTCTTGTTGCTGCAAAAACATGTGGGATCTTTGGAGGAACATTTGATTTGTAATCCTGTGGAGGAGTAAGAACAGGGCTTTTCAAGCTTTTTGGAGTTGTGCACCAAGGTTTTGATGTATTTGTGCTCTTTGCAAATCTTATCAAGGGTTTTTAGCATCATCTTGTAGATGTCTCCAAGGGTCATAGATTTGACATCAAGGGATCTGAGGTTCAACTGGGTTCTTGTTTGCTGGGCAAGTTCTTCTGGAACAGAATTAAGAAATGCTTGCTTTAAGTTGACATCATCGAATCCACCAAGTATGTAGAAATACTGGGAGAATTGTTGATAATGTCTGTCAAGGTCTTTGGGATGGAGAGAACAGCATTTGAGTCTGAAGAATTGCTCTCTGATCTTTTCTAATCTGTGAGTTTCTTGTCCACAAAAGATTGCTGCAAATTGAGAGACAGCGTCTGTGATTGTTGGGCATTGAAGAAACTGGAGTTGTCTGTATTCACCAATGTTGTCCCAAAAATTTTTCAGGGTTCCAACGAGTCTGGAAACAAATCTGATCAAGACTGTGTTCATCGTAACATTGGGATGAGAATTCAATTCAACAAGTCCCCATGCTAAGAATTCTTGAAATCTTGAGGGCCATTTTGAAGGAGGAACATCATCAATGGTAAAGACTGAGAATTTTGATGTTGAAGGAGGAGCATGTGATTGTTGTGGAGAAGGGTGTTGTTCAGCATCCATTGCATCAGGGTTATGAACTTCTGGAGTATCATCTGAAACTTCAACTGTTGGTTCTGTCATGAAAATTTGAGGGAGCATCATTTCATCTGAGTCATCAGTATCATCTGTTTTAACTGATTCTTCTGATTTGACAGTATCCATGTGAGATTCATTCTCAAAAGTAGAGGGAAAAATATCTTCAATAGAGAACTGAAGAAGGTTATCTTGTGCCATCTAGTGAAGTATTTCTGGAAGGGTTTGTGTAGGAGAAATCATGGGTTGTACAGGTTTTTGGTTTGGTTGTGGTGTAGGGTTTTGAGGTGTAGAACTTGAGCTTGGGTGTGGTTTTGAAGGTTGAGAAAGTGGTTGTTCTGCTATTCTTTTGGGTTTTGGATCAACTGGTTGTTTTTCTCGAAATCTGCGAATCTATTTTTCAGTTGTACCGAAAGAGGGTTGGTCTGGTTGTTCTGAAAGAGGAGTGAAGTATTGTGTTGGTTGTGAGGATGTTGGAATAGATGTTGGGGGAGGTTTGTACTGAAAAGGTGTGAAAAAAAGTTTTGGAGGTGAGGTTGGAGGATTGTATAGTTGAAATGGGGGAAGAGTATAAGCTTAGTAAGGAGTATCATGCATACCAGTATGATATGGTGTGAAGATGTTGTAACTCGAAGCTGCTTGTTGTTGTTGTTGTTTCTGACGAAACTGATTTTGAAGGTCTGCAAGTTGAATCTTTAGGCTCTTCATTTCTTTCTCTCATTCAGTGAAAGCATAAGTGATACCAGTGTTGTTTTCAGCCATGTATCTGAGTTCTTGATCAAGTGTGATTATCCTTGACTGAATTTCAAGAATAATATTTTGGAGATTGACAAGGCTCTGATCAAAGTGTTGACTGACTTGGTCCAACTTATGTTCAATTCTGTGCAAGTAGGAATTTTGCTGGAGAGAATTTTCAGTTTGCCAGTTTAAAACTGCTTCAGCACGAGAAACACTTTTTTGGTTTCCATATTCATCTCTATCAGTGGGAGTGGGGATTTTTGGAATGTGTTTGTATTTGTCTTTATGAAATTCTTCAAAAGGAGGGAAGGTTGAGTTGGGATAGGTTGGTTGCATCATGGAGATTTGTGGTAAAGGTTTGGTGGAATCTTGGGAGGAATTTGGTTTGTGTGTGGGTTGAGTTGAGTAGGTTTGAGAAAGCTGTATAAGGATTTATAAGAGGTAAGACTGTTTGTTGGGTTTTCTTTTCTTCTGGAATATAATCCCAGAAGAATTTCCTCACCAGTGGTCAGAACAAGGATACACTCACATCCACTTTGGTGCTATCAGAATCGTTTTAACCTTCCATGGTAGAAATGGAATTCCTGTCTGTACCAGAATGGCCTTATTGGACACCAGATTTAAAGATTACAAGCATGCAGTCCTTGGAATCGTCGAGATGACCCTCAATGCAGGAACTGTCTTCTTCACAGTCTTCCCTAATTACAATATGTCTCTTCATGATCCAACCTTGTTAGATGCTTTAAAAGTTCAAGTCCAGATCGTAGGCACAAAAATGAAAGGCCTCCAGGCAACCCTTCACTACCAGATGTCATACAGAGTTTAAGATCATGCCATTAACTTGCCTCTTTCCCACTCCAGTGATGCAGTTTTTGTTAAAATGGAAACAGCAGATAGAACTCCCAAACATGTTCATATTCCAAAGCAGATTTCCAATGAAGAACTTGCCACCCTTCTCCCAAAGACGTGGATGACAAGTTATCAAAAGATTTGGAAACAAGATGAGCCAATTGAACACTTTGATCCAACCTACAAGACAAACCAGGATGGTACTGTCACAATTGAATTTGATCACAGCAAAGAAAAGGATGTTCCTTCTCCAACAATCTTTCCAACACAATTTATGATGCAAAAATGCCATGCTGATCTCCTTGATGTTCCAGTCACACACTTTCAGTCCAATGGAAATCCCGTGTATGCATATAAATCTCCAACAGGACATTGCTATTGGGACATAAATTGTCAATGCAAAGAATGCCAGATCGATGCTGATAAAAGCTTCCTGGATGATGATGATGATGATATTCCAAAGAAGCAAAAAAGAAAAAGTCTTCTCAGCAAAAGCTCAAAGAAAGATATGAAAATGGAGACCCTGAAATTGATCTCCTTGGTGAACCCTTAGGAAAGTTTGACTATTATGTCATCTATCCTAAGAAAGACAAACCACCCTCTCAAACCTACTCAACTCAACCCACACACAAACCAGATTCCACCCAAGATTCCTCCCAACCTTTACCCAAACCTTTACCACAAATCTCCATAATGCAACCAACCTATCCCAACTCAACCTTCCCTCCTTTTGAAGAATTTCATAAAGACCAATACAAACACATTCCAAAAATCCCCACTCCTACTGACAGAGATGAATATGGAAACCAAAAAAGTGTTTCTCGTGCTGAAGTAGTTTTAAACTGGCAAACTGAAAATTCTCTCCAGCAAAATTCTTACTTGCACAGAATTGAACATAAGTTAGACCAAGTCAGTCAACACTTTGATCAGAGTCTTGTCAATCTCCAAAATATTATTCTTGAAATTCAGTCAAGGATAATCACACTTGATCAAGAACTCAGATACATGGCTGAAAACAACACTGGTATCATTTATGCTTTCACTGAACGAGAGAAAGAAATGAAGAGCCTAAAGATTCAACTTGCAGACCTTCAAAATCAGTTTCGTCAGAAACAACAACAACAACAAGCAGCTTCGAGTTACAACATCTTCACACCATATCATACTGGTATGCATGATACTCCTTACCAAGCCTATACTCTTCCCGCATTTCAACCATACAATCCTCCAACCTCACCTCCAAAACCTTTTTTCACACATTTTCAGTACAAACCTCCCCCAACATCTATTCCAACATCCTCACAACCAACACAATACTTCACTCCTCTTTCAGAACAACCAGACCAACTCCCTTTCGGTACAACTGAAAAATGGATTCACAGATTTAGAGAAAAACAACCAGTTGATCCAAAACCCAAAAGAGTAGCAGAACAACCACTAAACCACACCCAAGCTCAAGTTCTACACCTCAAAACCCTACACCACAACCAAACCAAAAACCTGTACAACTCATGATTTCTCCTACACAAACCCTTCTAGAAATATTTCACCAGATGGCACAAGATAACCTTCCTCAGTTCTCTATTGAAGATATTTTTCCCTCTACCTTTGAGAATGAATCTCACATGGATACTGTCAAATCAGATGAATCAATTGAAACAGATAATACTGATGACTCAGATATCTTCTCCAAATTAAAGGCCGGAGCGGGTTGCGACCAGGTTGGATCCTTCAAATGGAGCGACACGCAAATCTTTCAAGAGATCCGTTCCCAAAACGACACCATTTGTGGTTACCATAAAAGCCATTATTCTTTGTTTGTCTTTCATTTTTCAACTTTCTTTTCTCTGTACACATTTATCTCCTCTACGCTTGTCTCTAGCATTCAAGTAAGCACCGCGCAGTTCTTCAAGGCTTCCCAGATTTAGGCCACCGCCCCACCGGCACCGGTTGGGCTCCAAATTTTACGAAACAGTTCTTTTTGGTCTTCTCTTTAACGTGTTCCAGTTGGATTTCCAAAAACTAGCGGGATTTCTACAAATCTGAGTCCAAAATCACGATTTTCTCTCTGTTCTTTGCAGCTCTGATGGCCACCACCGCTAGGTATGTTTTCCCCTTTCTTCTTGGCTGCCTCCTCACAAATTTCGAAGCTTCAAAACAAACTAGATCAACCTCGATTGGGAATCTTAAAGAGAAAATCTCTTTTCTGTTCCCCTTTTTTGACTACTTGTGTGACTCTGTTTTGGTGCTAGAGGCAACTGGAAATGGAGATGGCTCTGGTGGTGAGGATTAGTGCTTCCGTTATCCGCGCGTGGTTTGGTGGCTGGCTTCTCTTTTAGCTCTCTCTATTTGTAAATGTGGGTTGGATTCAATGATTAATGGGTTTGGTGATGAACGGTTTTTTTGAACCTCTTTTTTTGGTCTGATTATGGGTCCTGGGCTGTCTGGTAGGAGTTGAATTGTTGGTGTTTTGGCAGAGATGGAGGGATGATTTGGCTGACAGTAGGCGAGTAGAAACTGATTGATGCTTGCTATGATTTCACTATGTTCGGTTTTTCCTCTATTTTCTGCATCTGATTTTCTGTTTAATCTTTGTGTATTCTTGGATTTGTTGGCTTAAAATGAGGCTCCATTAGGGTCTGAGTATGATGGCTGGAAATTGATGGAAAACTGGGTATTGTAATTTGTATCTGGTTGATTGGCGATGGCAATGACAGAGGAGCTGAAATTTAGTGATACAGCTGTGGTGTTGACGGCACTGGCAAAGAAAGTCTGCTCAAGCTCTTTTCTGGTGATTGTCTAATTTCTGTGTGTTCATTCACTGCCAATTACAGGTCTATTTATAGGGTTAGGAATCTTTCGGTGATAAGAACTTGGGATAGAATGGGATTCTCAAGTTAATGAAGTGTCCCATAAATTTTATCTTCAAATCATCAAATTATCAATAAAATTTTAAAGTTCAATCTTCGTTCCCCTTTTTTGGATAAACAATTAAATTTACTTAAGAGATAAAAGATAATAAAATAAAAACAAAACTCTATACGGATACCAATGAAATAGAATAAAAAAAAGGTTATAATAAAAAAAAATTTAACAGTGGGTTTGGATCAAGTTTGAATTCAGGCGGTTCGAGTTTAATTGGTTCGGATTCAAATAATTTGAATCTCGGATTAAATAAGGTATTTACATAAACGTTGGTATACTCTAATAAGTTAATTTTGCTAGAAGAGAGTAATGCCAATGTGATAAGTGATATTAAAGTCAAACTTTAACTTACCCAATTTCATATCAAGCGTTTCAAAGTAAGTAGGGTAAGTCAATCTAGCAATTTAATAAGGTCCTAAGATAAGGCAAGATGGTAGAATTCATTATACTAAAGTATTCTAAAAGAGAGTAACTTAATAAGGTATTGAGATAAGCTACGATGATAGATATTTTAAAAGAGAATAAATTATGATGAAGACGTCATCAGATTAATTAAAAGAAAATATCATACCAAGTATTTTAAAAAAGTAGGGATGATACTTTAATCTCATATTAGTTAAGAAAGTGAAGGTCATTATATATATAAGTGTTGACATTGTAAATCTCAATAAGTTACATTTGTAAAGAAAAGATAACGGCCATGTGACAGTTGAACCAAGAGCTGGTTACAACTTGGTCAGTTATGCAATGATCATATCGGTTCATTCAGTTTTAGCCAGTTTGATTTCAATGGAAAGAAATACATTTCCGCTCAGTTGTATTCTAGGGCACTGAATATCCTCCAATTAATTAATTAATTAATTAATAGCTTTATGGAGCATTTCATGTAGGAAGGAAATTGCCTCACCGGGAAGCCAGTTAATGACATGACTAACTTCTTAAGGTTTTATGTTCACTTTGATGAGTTGAAAACCTTCTCCTTTGAGTTCAATAGCTTTACAGAGACTAAGTTTAACTTGTTACTTGTGCTTGCATCACTTGTAGAAGTCTAATCCATTACCTAAAGAGGAGAGCCATACATCCAATAGCAGTGGCAATTCAAAGAAGCAAAGTTCATTTCATGAGCGACTTTGAGCAGAGCATAAGTCCTTTAAAGCTGTTTCTGATAAAGAGGAAGAGAATTGGTGGGCTTGATCTTGAGGAGGATTACTATATTAAAAAGCAGGGAGAAGTTTTGCCTTTGTAGAGATGTTTGGCAGCTGCCTTCTCTGCCACCCCTATTTTCTGGTATTCTAAGGTTGTTTTTTTTTTTTTTTTTTTTTTTTTTTGGTTATGGTGTGGGAAAGAGAGGTGGTTCGGTCGAGCTTTATCCGTAAATTCCGAATGGAAACTCCATCCCTCCCTGTGGTAAGGAAAAAGAAAAAGTTTTTCTACCATGATCTTTTCATATTTGTAATTGTTTTCCAGGTTTCAAGGCAATGAATTTTGTATAATCCATTATTGAGCATCAATGCCTGATTACGTGACATGCCCAGATATTATCTTCATTATTAAAATTCATAAAATATAAATTGCCTGATCTAGTGGATTATACAAGCATTAGATAATATAAATTATCAATTTTATTGAATTTTTTCCACCAAATTATGTTGAATTGAATAATCTTTGTTTAATAAAAAATTATACACGCTTTTTTTTAAGTATGATAAAAAAAAAGAAGGCCACGTACGTCGAATGAGGATGATGTTCCTAATAATAGAGTTTGGTGAAAGAAATTATATAATAAGAAAATATGCTTATCAAGTGTTCTTACTATTCCTATCAAAAGCCTATGAGTTAGAGCTTAGCTCTCTCCCTTAATAAAATAATTGCAGATACTCACAAATAGAACTTTTACTATAGAAAATAAATTATTGAGAAATATTTAATATAATATTTAAATTTTAAAAATTTTTAACATAATATTTAAATTATAAATTTATTAATTAATATAATTTTTAAAAATTATTTATTTATTATTTATCATAACTTAAAATTAATCACTTTAAAAATTATAACATATTAATTAATAAATTTATATTTTAAATATTTAAATTTTAAAAAATTTAATTTAAATATCATATTAAATAATTTATTACAGTTGAGGAGCTATTTGTAATGCCAACCCAATATTTATAATCCTTTGAGGCCTCTAGTTCAATTTGTCGGCTGCTAAAACTTCAACTCACCGCCTGCTAAAAGTTCTGCTAAAAGTTCAACTCGCCGCTAAGACCTCTTTCTCTTTGTTTTTCTCTCCCATTCTCTCTCCAGCAATAATGGCCGCCGCTGCGGTGGCGAGGCACTGCCTTGCTCGTTTCACGGATTCAGAGACGACCAAATGCACTCTCTCTTACTTCCATCATACTTCTTCCAGGCAATCCATCCAAGTTTTTTACAACGTAAATCATTATTTCTTTTATTTCTTTTTCTTTGTTTTCAACTAATCATCGTGCTTATTGCACTTTCCGATTTTTTTTCAGCTGAAATTTGACATGGTTAGCCTGTTTGGAAATGTAACAGAAATATCAGGTTTGTACACTATCCATGAATGGGTGCCAAGGGGACTCCAAATTCCCCATAGGCACCATTGAGACACGCACACTGGGAGCAGTTCCATCTCCTGCAGTGGCCATGGAACGGCTGAATCTCGCCATTGGAGAGTTGAAATCCAACCTACCTCCCTGTAGCTCTGGCATTATTCGGCTGCAGGTAAGTTCCCTTCATTAATGTTCGACACCGTTTTTTGTCCTCAATCAAGTCTATCCAGATGCTGGAAAGAAAATTTCTTATCTGTACATTCAAATGGGCTGCTGCCACGTGGTGGATTGATATCCCAGGTTGTGGTCGTGGCATAGTCTTCCTTATTCCTTATCCTGCACTCTCAAATTTCAATTGCCAATTTATTGTTTTTTTTTTTCACCATTAAAACAAACACAGAAAAGAAGAGCTGTGATTCAAAACCCAAATTCCAATATTTTTGGTGATTAGTATTTCTCTCAATTTCATATGTTTAGCATCCAAAAAAGTTTGTTCAAGGTCATGACATATGGTAACACTAGCTTATTATCCATGTAATGCATGAATTATTTTTATTTATTTAAATATGTTTAGATATATAAATTAATATTATTTAATTACTTAAATGTTTAATACTATATATATTAACTACAAATAATATAATTAAAATATCAAAACATAATAAAATTAAAAATTTTAATTAAAAATTTCAAAATTCAAAATATATAATAATATTTTAGGAAAAATAAAATATCCAAAAGTTTTATATAAATAGTGTTATTGAGTACACCAATAAAATATTTAAATTGAAAACTAAAATTGTTATCACTTCAAATTAATTTTTTTAAATGTGTCATTTTTCATCTTATGTAATTATTTTTTATATACATGTAAGCTATATAATTTAAAAATAAGTTTTATTTATTAGAAAAAAATAATTTTAAATATTTAAATAATATATATGATAGTTTACTTGTATGTATATTTTTTGCATGAGTTTTAGTAATATATTAATCTTAAACATCTATAAGATTTATCAAATTAATTTTTTTACTTTTTTTAAACTTCACATTTGATGCAAAATTATGTTACTGAAAAAGTTAAAATAAAATAGTATTAAATTTTAAACAATTATTTTAAAAATTTATTGAAAAAAAGTTTCAAGAAAAAAAAGTATTAATTCTCATTCATGGAATTTTATAATCAATTTCAAAAGTTAAAAATTTTTTTTTTTTTTTTGCTTTTACTACTTACATTTCATTTCAAGAAAAAAAATCAATAATATTATAAAAGAATTAAATTATAAAAACTTAATTTCAAATAAATAAAAATGATTTTATTTTTATATAAAAACAATTATAGTAAAATTAGTACTGAATTTTAGTTATTTACTTTTATTTATATATTTAAAAGAAAAACAAATAAAAGAAAAGCATAACAAAGTCAATAATTAAAAGTAAGTTTATACCTTCTTTTTCTAAATATATAAATAAAACCAACAAAGAATGCCTCAACAATTAAATATATATTTTCTACTTTCAATTGTCAAAATATTTCAAAAGAATTATTATTGTGCTAGATTGATTTTCTTTCTTCATTTCAACATCCATGAATTGTCAAAAGATTTCTATAAGATCTAAATGAACACTATAGAACAAACAAATTATTCAAAGTTTTCATAAAAATTTCAAAAACAAAAAAAAAAATATTGATTTTAACTTTTTAACATGTGTATGCACATATTATAAAAAATATAATAAAAAATTATGTATCTCATATATCAAAAATTATATAAAAATATAATAAAAATTTCCATGCATCTCATGTCAAAAAATCATTTATTTGCAAGCATAAAAGTTGAAAAAAAAAAACAAGAGAAATAAAATTAAAATTGAGGATATTGTTAAAGAATAAATTATCTTCTAATGAATGCGATATTTGATCTTTTAAATTAAAATAATAAAATAATAAAATATTATTATGAAATATCTAAAATTAAAAATTATAATTTTAAATTTCAATCTCAATTTCAATTTTAGAATGACATATATTTATATTATTAAAAATTTTATTTTATAATACCATTATATTTGAGATTTTTAGAATTAAAGAGATATATATTTATATTATTAGAAACATATTTTAAAAGATAACATATCACTATATTTAAAAAATTTTAATTGAAAAAATATATATTTAGATTATTTAAAAATGTATTTTTTAAAAATAATATATTTAAATTAGATTTTGTTACTAGTATTTTAAAAATAATTGAATTGATCTTTCACTTAAATTTGAAAGTTTTGGATAATACCTTTATTTTTAAAGTGCCAGGAAAGTTAAAATAGTATTTTCCCAATTTAATAAGTGTTATAGGATGTAAAATAATCTATTTAATGATAATTTAATTTATTTTTAATAAATAAAAAAATTTAATTTTATTAAACAAAATTAATAACTTTTGAAATGAATAATTTTGTGTTAATTTAAAAATAAATGAATTAATTCAAGAGAAAAATTAAACCAAATAAAAAGATGAATGTGAAAAATATAATTAAAAAATACAATTCTATCCATAATTCTGTCTATAATTTTTTGAAATTATTGAAAAATAAAAATAAATATAAATACTATTAAATAGTTATTATTACACATAACTAAAGGTTTGATTTATACGATCGCTAAAAACTCAAATAAAATTTTAATATAAATTAAATAAATTATTTTAAGAACCAAATAGGTTTATATATTGTCGTAGAAAAATTAGATCTAAAAATTTAATGTATTGATAATATAATATTATAAGAAAATTAAAAAATAAAAAAAGTATAATTTAAAATTAAAAAAATTATATATAAATTTAATAAAAATTAAAAAATATATTTTATATTTGACACAATTTTCATGCTTTAATTGTGATTTATAGAACAAATCAGATAAAATGGACAAGAGATATAAGATTTGCAAGGAAAAAAAAAAGAGGACTAAAATTGGTACATGTTGTTTTAAGGTACCCATCCAGCAGCAAATCGAAGCAATCGAATGGCTCCATGCTCAGGACGAGATTCTTCCTCGTTGTTTCTTCTCTGGTAGAAGAGGCAGAGCCAACGCTTCCAATCTCTTGATAGACACCATCAATGGAAACGGCTACACCTCTTTTGGCCAGAATCTTGTAAGTGTCGCCGGTGTAGGCTCGGCGGTCTTCTTTCGACAACTTCATCCTTTCTCCTATGACGATTGGAAGTCCATTAAGAGGTAAACTCTTATGGATTCAAAATTTAAAGCCCCACTCTCACATTAAGAAAACTTGACCCATCAGTTGACTTTTAAGAGGTAGCACCCGACAGATTAAGATTCAAATTCTAGCACTTGATTCCTTCCTTTATTCCCACGCGACCTCAATTGTAATGAAAAAAAAAAACACTTGACCCGTAATTGTAAGGTGTTGTTTTTGACAAAATTTTGAGTCTTTCCGGTGAAAGCAGGCAATTGTGAGTTTTAATTGTTACTTTTACTGCTTGACAGCTAAAATGCACCCTGGTATTTATTTGTATACTATTTTGGAATCCTAAACTCTTTCTTTTTTTTTTTTTTTCCTTGGATTGAAGGTTTCTCTCTTCAAAATGCCCTTTGATTCGTGCATACGGAGCAATCCGTTTCGATGCAAGGGCCAACATATCATCTGAATGGAAGGCATTTGGTTCATTTTACTTTATGGTCCCTCAGGTATAAAGCTTGTTCTTGTCGATGAAGTAGTTTGTAGGGAATGTTTCAGTTTTTCCTCGTTAGTATTTAAACAACATGCGGCTAGATACCAAATGACAGGTTGAGTTTGATGAGCTTGAAGAAAGTTCCATGCTTGCCATAATGGTTGCATGGGACGATGCGCTTTCATGGACATGGGATGAAGCCATTGATTCACTTGAAGCTACAATGCAGCGGGTGCATAAAGTTTTTAACTGATTTTGCTTACCTTAAATAATTGCTTTGAGAAAGGTTTATTATTATGGTATTAATTAAATTTCCAATTATGAAGGTGGCTTCGATTGTTGTAAAATTGAGGAAGGAATCTTCCAAAGAATTCATCCTTAGTAATAATCACATTCCCAACAAGACACATTGGGATCTTGCTGTAAAGAGAGCTTTGGAGATAATAAACACAAGCAACTCACCACTCATTAAGGTATTCTTCCTTCGGTAGTTACTTTTCATGAAGTCTTAGGCACACCATCCCCAAACCATATTCCTACTACTCTTATGACTATCCATTAGGTTTTTTATTAACCATTTTGATTTGAAAAATTAGGTTGTGCTTGCACGTAGCAGCAAGGTTTTAACTGCTACAAATATCGATCCTATCTCATGGTTAGCATGTCTGCAGGTATTCTTTCCTTCTCTTACTTCTTTAAAGTGTAATATCAAGTTAAGATAATTTTCATTGAGCTATATTTCTGCAGGTTGAAGGAGAAAATGGTTATCAGTTTTGTCTTCAGCCACCTAATGGACCAGCATTTATAGGAAATACGGTAAGTGTAATGCAGATCTTATCGTGCAACATACAAATCTTTTCTACTCTGATGTTTTTTCTTTATTTCTTTAATCATTTTTTCTTCTTCCTCTGTAACAAAATGTGTGCGCAATATCTTTCCTACTAATATGAATTTTGCATGGTATTTGATAGGAATAGTTTTGAGATTACCATGACTGCAGTTAAAGAATAGGTGAAAGAAAGTGATGCATGTAAGATATATAATACTTAACAGCCCTTTGCCAATTTCTACTCCATTGCTGTTGATGATACATCCCATGTTTAATTTTTATTTACAATACATATACTCTTATAAGATTTCACATTGAATTGATCATTCTTGTTCATGGTACTAAATAGATTGTTTATACCCTTTCAAAGTGATAATTGACCATAATTTAAAATGTCCTCATATTCCATGATATTGTCTAACACTATTTTTGAAGTTGTTGGACCTGATGTCACTGCTGTTCAGAATTTTTATTCCTTTTCTTCATGATTTGATAAGAAGATTATTGGTGTGAGTATTATTGAAGATGAAGTAACGGTTCAGAAAACTGGAAACTTCTAACCTATCTCTCGGCTATATGTAGTTTGCTTTGAGCATCGAAAGTGTTTCAAGACACAACTTGCATGAGGTTTTTTATTGCTTTGACTTATATAAACTTTGTGAATAGCCAGAGCAACTATTTCACAGAAAATGGCTAAGCATTAGTAGTGAGGCAATGGCTGGAACCCGTGCTAGAGGCGGATCCACTACTCTTGATCTTGAAATAGAGCATGACCTACTTTCCAGGTTCTTTTTGTTACTCTAAACTTCTTACCAAACTTTTATTTGTTGAATGTTTTAAGAAATTAGTCTTATATATTTTTTAATTCTTCTATAACCAATAACATCCAAATTAATAAATTGACTTGATTGTACATCATGTAGTCCCAAGGACCATCTGGAGTTTACTATAGTACGAGAAAGCATACAAAACAAATTAGAGGCAAGTTTTCTTCTGATATCTCGAATTGTCAAATTGCTGTTCTAGGCAGAGAAAATACTTTCCTACAGTTAGGATTTGTTTGTAGTTAAAATTCTTTTGTAAGACCATTCAGGTTGATGCTCTTTCCATTGTTGCCGTGCATTATTTCTGCTGCTTTTAAAAATGTTAGCTAATGTCAAAGATGAAAGCATTACCACCATTTGAGTGATCTCCTGATAAGGGCATGGTTGTAGTGATGCCATCAAGAGAAGCAGCCACCCTTGCTTTTAAACCACTAACTAATACAGTGGCAATATGATATGGTTGTTTCATATCCTGCTGATCAGGCACCATTATTTGCAGCACCTGGGATATGTTAGCAACACCTTTTTCATTATATCAAATGCTCCCTCTCTTCTATAATGTAGGCTTTGTTTTGACCTTTTGTGTCAAAATCTTTTATCTGTTACCTTTTCTGTGTAAATTGACTATAATTCCTTAAAAACTTTAAATCAAAAGGTTTTTAAGATATATATATTTTTATATGTTTATCAAATATAAAGAATATAAAGTTTTAACCTCAAAGAGTCATAACCAATAGCATCTTTTCAGGTATTATTTTACCCTAAAATTTAAAGAACAAAAATAGGGTTAAAAGTTATCTTTTTACCCCTTTTGGCTTTGCAGTCTGTATGTGAGAGAGTTGCTGTTGAGCCAAAGAAAACAGTACGAAAACTTCGAAGGATTCAACATTTATTTTCCCAATTGGCTGGTAACCTGAAAACGGAGGATGATGAGGTAAATATTTTTATTAATTTCATATGTCAATAATGAAAATTCCATCAAAGCACTTATAAGATAAATTTTAGGTGCAGACCGTTCCTTGCAATTTCATGTAGAAACTTTTCTTGATTCTAGAATGAGCATTGGCTGTAGTAGTCTCAAATATAGACTTTTAATTTGTAAAAGATCTAGATGGTAGTTTCTCTCTAGCTTTTTTGTTGAGATATCTTTTCTGTTTCTATGTTGTTGTGCAGTTTGAAATCTTGTCTTCTCTCCACCCAACTCCAGCAGTTTGTGGATTTCCCACAGAAACTGCACGCCTTTTCATTTCAGAAACTGGTACCCTTGCATATACTATAACATGTTTTTATTTGTTCTTCCACCAAAATGACTTTTTTTTTTTTTCTTTTCTGGCAAGATAACTTAGACTCTATTTAGCATCTTGTGCACCATTCATTTTATTGTTTAGAGCTCTAGAGAAAATAATCCTTTATTGATTATAAGGAATATGGAAACATTTGGACTAGTTTTTAACTGAAGAGAAAACATACTGCGCTCTTCTTTCCCCCAAAGCATTCGTCTATGTTCTATGATTTCCTCTAATTGCACGGTTGAATTTGTCCAAAAAATAACCCTCTAATAAATGACTAAAGTTCTTACAAATGAACTGCCTTGATTGTGTGCTTTTGAAGAGCCTAGATTCTTTTCTTGAGTTAGGAAAATAAAAGACAGTTTCTTGAGCATAGAGTTTGATTAAGATATGGAACTAAAAGAATTAGAATGACAATAGTAATGGTTCTTTGTTGACTATGTTTACCACTTTGTCGACAGCTTTAGTTAATTCTCAGCTTTTAGACTTGTTAGCTAGTTTCTTTTAGATGTATGCTGCTAGAATAGATAAATCTCTAAGAAAAGGAACCTATATGATCAACTTCTAAAAGTGTGTGATTCTTGGAAAGGTGGTGTTTGGCAACAATTTGAAGGTTCTGGTGGTTGTGGTATAAAAAAATGCATTAGTGTTCTTTTGGCATAGGCTTTTAGGTAATGTTTGGTGCATAGGATGATGGATAGGATAGGATGATAATCATCCTATTTTATGTTTGGTTTGTATCTAAATAAAGAGATAGAATTACAAGGAGGATTTATCATCCTCTTAATATAAGATGATTCAATTCTCCCAAAGTGGAGAGGACTACTATGGGATTGAATGTACATGTCCTATTATACCTTTAAAAATTACATCAATAATTTAAATTATATAAACTTTGAGGAAAGATAATTTTGACCAATAAATAAATTATCCTATCTTAATCCTTGTATGCATCAAACACAAGATAATATAACATTATTTAATTTAATACTAATTATAATATCATTTTATCTTATTCTATCATAATCTTATGCACCAAACACACCCTTAATTCATAAAATTGGTGCTATGCTTTTTTTTTTTTTTTGGAGGTTCATGCTTTGAACATTCTTGAAGCATTTTTTTTTTATATAAATGAACTTTCTTGGAACTTAATTTGTGCTTGTTCTGATTTCAATAATAACCTGTAGATTACTTCTCATTTCTCCCCATAGATTTATACAGTTATTTCATATTAAATATTTCATTCTCCTCGTTTTGCCTTACTTATATTGAAGAAATTATGTATTTCAACCATTGGGCTTTGATATAGATAAAGAAATGCCACTATCTCAATATCTGAGGAAGCAAATAAGCTGCCATTTAACATTCTCTTCTAACTAAACTACTTTTTGGTTGATATACTCAACTTTGCTGTCTCAACATTTTTGTTCAGAACTGTTTGACCGAGGAATGTTTGCTGGACCAGTTGGTTGGTTTGGAGGAGGAGAAAGTGAGTTTGCTGTTGGTATAAGGTCAGCATTAGTGCAAAAGGTGAGCTAATTAAATTATCTCATTTATGAAAACATGCTTCTCTTTTGAGTAAGCATGAATGTATCATCAAAGCTTCATGATATTCTGCATTAAAAATTTTCTTCCTAATGATCACAAAGAAAACCATCAGTGTATGCTTTTTCTTTTCAAGGTATATGCATTTTAAATTGTAGTAAGAGAGATCTTATGTTGATAACTTAAAATTTCTGTTACCAAAATATTTGACCAATTTAAGTTCCTAGGGTCTTGGTGCATTGATATACGCTGGAACAGGGATAGTAGAAGGCAGCAATCCAACTTTAGAATGGGATGAACTAGAACTCAAGACATCTCAGGTGAGTGTAAACGTTTTTGTATTATGATGCATTTATATATGTGCTTCCACATGGATTTGTCATAGACTCATGGTATTCTTGCGCATATGATGTGCTTATTGAAGCTCGCGGTAAATTATAAATTTATAATATATATGTATATTCAACCTCTTTCCATAGCGTGTAAGTAGCGGAAAGTGGTGTGTTTCCAAGCTCCTATGCCTCTTCTCTTCTTTCTAGGTCATTGTAAGAACAGGTGTTAAATCCTTTTTATTCTACAGTTCACCAAGTTGCTTCAACTTGAGGATCCTTGGCAATCAAAAGTTGAGAATTTGGAGACTATCAATTAATAAGGTTAGTGATTATGATAAAAATGTATGGTACAACACATGTGGATTTGTTTCTTTTTTGTTATTCTTGGGATGCTTTTTTGCATAACAAGTACACTAGAACTATAGATTTTCAAAAGAAGTTTACCAGTGAGATTGATGACATGATAATACTGTAGTTTACGTTCGGAAGACTGGGATTAAGTAAATTTTGTGGAAACATTTCTGGTGTGCATTGCTTCAATTCAGGATTGAGCGGCAGGACAAGCAACAAAAGATATGTTTTGGCAAATTGTTTCAACTGAAGCTTCTGATTTGTTTTACATAGTTCATTTATACATAGGAAACCTCACAGCCTGTTCCGCGTAATCATTGTAGATGTATCATCAGCAACATTACTTGCAATTTTTCTTATTGACATAAATTGATTAAATGTAATTATTCCTTCTACAGGTTGCTAGTTTTCTTGGATATTTCTCTGCAGTGGGGGATCCAGAATTTCTTTCAGTGGTATCCACTTTTATAAAAAAACTGTTTGACATATTTATCAAATTTATGGGTGGAAAGGTATCAAGGAAAGATTAGGAGAGTGTTCAAAGGAAAGTTTTTCTTTAAATTTTTTATCTTTCAATTTTTGGGGTGTCCATGGACACTACTCCAAAAGATGGATCCGGCTCTGTTTCTCTGCATGTAAATGTTTTCTTCTTTCTTTTTTGTATTTTAATATTTGACCATGATGTTATGACCTGCTTGGGTTTAAGATTAATAACCAGGATTGTAGTGTTTATCTCCCCGAGTAAGTTTCACCTTCAGCATTTTCTGGAGCTCACCTACACTAATCAAATTCTTCTATTTTAACCCATGTGGCTCGGATTCGGGAGCTTGAGATGAAAATGCATTAAGCAGCTTTGATTCTTCTCTCTTCCTCAATTACATTTGTTGGTAATGCTCATCATGTTTCCCACATTCAACTATGTCCCTTAGTTACACAATTGTTCATTCTGATCCTTGCTAATATCACTATTTCACTAATTCTCATTAATTTTTGGCAAACCGAAATGCAAAATAAACAAAAAAGGAATTTTTTACACAAGTATAGATTTGGAGTGGAAAGAAATTAATTAATCCACGGATTGGTAATGATTAAAGTACTATATAAAGATCTTTCTTCATTTTTCCTTCCGAAGTTGAGGCGAATCTAGGGACGGGTAGCAGCCATGGCCCCTTCCAAAATTTTTTATAATATTATACTACAATATTCAACCCACTAGAAAAAAAAACCCGACCGTCCTTCCTAATTTGATGAATCATTTAGCCCTCTTGAAGGGTTTCCTTGCTTAACCCCTCGCCCTTAGTTAAAGTAGAAAACTACATTGATGAGTACTTGTTATTACTTATGCTTCTCTGCCAAATTACTACAACTTCTAGCTCAGTTTTGAGCTCTATAATGTTATGTACCTATATATGGTATCACTGAACAATGCAGCTTAACACGGTCCGCGTTTAACGCAGTTGAGAGCGCCTGAAAAGCGTGTGAGCCTCGTTACAAATGTCCCAGGCTTTGCCTTGATCACATCGTACCTATTGACCCCTTTGATTGGTCTCCCAGATTGAACAAAAAAGGCCCCGTTCATCATTAGATCATTCTCAGACCTCCAGTTCCATGACTTCCATTCACTCTCTGGTGAATACTCTCTCTTTGTAACCTACACCCAATAAGCAAGATGATAAACAATTTTAATGTTAAACAATGTTTCTTATTCAGTTCATGGTGGAGGGTGAGAAATCGGCATCGGAATTTAGCCAGGTTGAAACAAGAAAACAATGCATTTTGTAAAAGGTATGCTTTGTAATATTTTATAATTATATAGTCAAATCTAATAGCAGGATTAATAATATAGCATGAGATTCTTTTCATAATTAGTGAAAGTTTTTTATACGAACAAAAGTTGTATGTACTTTTTTATATAAATCAACATTATAAGAATATAATTTTCGAAAGTCAATATAATCGAATGATGTATTTTTTGTGTTTTTATTTTATTACTTTTTTTGTTTCTCATTTTCATTCACACAAATATTATTTAAAATTTAATATATTTGGTGCAACTTTATGTTTGGTCATATAATTGAAACGTACCTCTTTGCATGCTTTGTTGGGGGGAGCAATGAACCTGTTGCCCTGGCTAAGGATGGTAGGGTTCTTGCTGCCACCAATGGCATACATTAGCCAATGAGTGTAATCATTGTTGACAACATGGACGAATCCCCATCGAACCCTTGGCATCCTTTGCACCAATCCTTGCCCAAAATGGTTGAAAGCAAGCGTTACTTGCATCACTTTATCATCTGAGTAGCTATCACTTGCCCCAAACAGCAACACCTGTTTATTGCAATTTCTAACTGATTGTCAAATCAATACTATTAGCTCGCTTCATCCAATTACCAAAATTATTTAAACAAAAAAAAAGAAAAGAAAGAAAGCTGTTGATTTGAGGATGTATTGGCATTATTACGTCGTTATGATTAGTTAAGTGGCAATTAGAGATGGTGATTGCCGTGGATGCTTGAATAACATCGATTAATCCATCATAGCATCCGGACAAAGAAATGTGATCAAGCCAAATATTTTGGGATCCGAAAATGGAGATTGCATCGCCGTCACTCATCGTACGAAGGCCAAAATGATCGACGGAGTCTCTTATCATGCCGCCAGTGGCTTGTACCGATCCACGAATATGTATGCCATGGATAATAACATTTTGAATGTATTGCAATGTGATTTGAGCACCACGAAAGAAGTGCACATTAGCCCCTCGGCCGTCGATGGTCTTGTCACTAGTCATGATCAGCTCTTGGTTTAGCCTAATCACCATGTCATGGGCAAATGTGATCCAGAGAGGTCCTTTTTGGATGACTGCATGGCGTATAGTTCCGGGTTTAGGATTTACCATATCATTGTCAGATGGATCTGTTACGACATAGAATCTACCAGCCTTGCCTCCAGTGGTCTTGCGACCGAACCCCAGCACACAGGAAGCTAGCTTCTTGCGCTTTCCAGCCCAGTTTGGATCACATCTCCAGCATCTGTCAATTGGGTTGGTGGCTAGGCATGGACCATGGTATTTCCGTAGCTCTCTCCTTGTGTTATTGTAACCTTCCAAGGCCCTACATAGTAAATTAATATTCACATATTTCGTGTATGTTCTCTTCTCTTCATATATATTAATGATTTTTTAATACAAAAAAGTTAATAAACTATCTTCAAGGATTACAGATGTTGGATTTTGAACCCTAAATTTACTAAATATCATCTCATATTAAACAGGATCCAATTCAGATGGGTTTTGAATTCTCATTTCACATATACAAATGATTTTAATACTTGATAAATTGCAACAACAAAAGATACTACAAAAATTTAAAAACTTACCTGCGAGTTTCTCTGTTGAGATTATTGGTTACGTTCTGGGGATTGGGCTCGTAGGCTCTTTGGGCAGCCCTTTTTGCTTCTTCAGCTCGCTGTTGCCACACCTCATCGAATTCACCAATGTTAGCATTCACTATTGGACTGATTGCAACAAAAACAAGCCCTAATGCCAATATAGTCTCGAAAACTTTCATGGTAACCTTTACAATTTTCTGATCCTTTTTTTAGTAACTAAAAAGAAAATGCTTATATCCCTATTTTCACCAACTTTTTTTCTTTTTCTTTTGCAAAATTTCCAGGTATCTTGAACCCTACGTGATGGAGAATTAATTACAGGGTTTGCCTTGTCAGTGGCATTGGACGTAGGGTCTTTTGTTTGAGTAAATTTTTTATTAACCTATTTCTTAATAACTATTGAAGCAAATTTGATGGTAAAAGTTTTGAAATTAGCATCCAATGATTTGTTTAAATATACAATGGCAAGACATCCAAAAATGAAGGCAAAAAAAAAAAAAAAGAGACGTAGAGAGGGAAAGAAGGGAAACCACCGTCCCTTAATGGTCAAATTTTGGTCTCTTGGTTTTCTTTCCATTTTTGGATATTTAGAACTTGGAGGCTTCTACTTATCTTCTCTGTAAATATAATTTGTAAGATAATTAACATACAATGGAGGAGTTTTTCTGCTTTGGCCATTCATATATTCTTTTATCTTGAGTAATTTAATATTTAAATGAACAAAATTAAATCATGAATTGCTTTAGCCAACATCTGTTTCTTTTTTTTTTTTTTTGGTTTATTATGCAACATATATAATTTGATTAATTTCATTTAATTTTCGTAAGTAATTACGGTTAAGGTTTTTACTCCTAATTTACTTCTTGTAAGTTTTTTGATAATTAATTTTTTAGTGAGGTAAATTGATTTAGGTTTTTTTTTAATCTAAAAATATGTGATTATATTTAGGGTTAAATGTGTACAATTTAGAGAGTGTCAAGACACGTTTGAAAGAGAGAGTTATTGAATAATAATGGGTTTTGGGTAAATTTAACGATTTATATATTCGTATAGTGTAAAATATTAAAATATATATTTATATTGTGTTTTACATAAAAATTATATATTATAATTCGTATTAACATAAAAATGTAAAATATAAAATTATTTTTATTTTGTTAAATTTATATATAATTATTACTATAATTTTAAGTCGTATTATTTTTTTATCTTATTTTATATCGTATCACTATATCGTAATTTTAGTTTTAGATACATGAGATTGTGAAAGAGATAGAAAAGAATTGATGATTGTTATTGAGATTTGTATAATTTTTTTCCACAAGAAAAATTTGTGTTTGATTGTTTGATCAAGTATTTGTTTTAACAGTGTATTGAGCTAGGCTAATAGCAAATAGCAATGGATGATTTATTCAAATGTATATTTGTTTATTTATTTATGTAATTTATTAATTTTTTTAATCCGTATTGTAATGCTTAAATATGATTGTTAAAAAAAAAAAGGAAAAGCATACAAATGGTTAAAACCATGTTTACATGGATAGCTTGGACTAGAAAAGCTTTACACTATAGAGATTTTTGGCCACATATACTGTAGAGATTTAAGAATCAATTAATCAGAGCTTTCACATGTTCGGCTTAGCTTCAGGAGATCATATTCCTTTAACAATCATCCTAATTATTTATCGTTCCTTTCGTCTCATAAATAATTTGTGAGTTAATTTATTACAGTTAATTTTTTTTTTCAAATTTGATAATTGATATTTTAAATATTTTATTAAATTAATTATTTTCTTTTTTTGAAAATATCCTCATGCAAAGTATTTTTATGTTTTAATTAGTGATATATATATATATATAATAAAATAAAGTTAAAATTGAAAAAGAACTGAACATTCAACTTTTCTTGTTAATTATGCAAGATTTCATTTCTTTGGTTCATCAATGGGTGAAGTGATATTCTTGGAAAAAGAACTGAAGATTTCATACCCCATTTCTATTGGACAGAAGACTCAATGGGCGAGGCGATTATATCTCTGTTAATCATCCGGGTATGGAATCAACATCTTTATCTCATTGTATTCTTTTTTACACAATCATTTGAATATGCATCAATTGATCAAGACTCAAGAGCATGGATCATGACAAACCTTTTCTTTTCCTCTTTGCTTCAAACCCCCTCTAGGCATATAGTTTATTTGCCTCTTTCAAATGCTTTCTCCCCAAGAAAAGCATGCCATTGATTGAAAATGGTGAGAATAACCCTCAAGAGAAATGCATTTTCCACACGACATTGATTGTGCTTATCCAGATTTCAGGCTAAAGCTCTCCAGTTTGTTGATGAAAACATCACCCTTGATAGCCATAAAGAATTATTTTGAATTTCACATGCAAACTAAAAACAAAAGATAAAAGAAAGCCCTTATTCATGCTTTAATCAACAGTCAATCACCAATAAAATTAGGCAGAGTCAGTTTATCCAGAAAACATTCTGCATTAGCATCAATAGAATTTCGTTGAACAGCAGCTACCCAAATCATTTCTTTATTTAATTTTGGCAGCATAAGCAAATATTTATCCTTCTTGAACATTCTCTCTTTGCAAACTTAGGAATTCGAACGGATTACAACTTCATGTTAAGAATGCTAATAAAAAGCATTAACATTCCTGTCTCGTAGGATTACAATCAGTGGAGAAAGGATGGTGAATGTTGACAAATGCATATATTTCTGGCAGGCCTTAAGACTACCAGAGAATTGAGATATGAATAAGATGTCAAAATTTTGAGGGTAAAATGCTCTGTCTAACCGTCCCAAAGAGAGCAGAAGAAAAGGAAGAAAATGCTAATACCGCTGCAGAAGAGAAAGCACAAGAAGAACTAATCAATGATGAAAATCAAAGAAAACATGATGAAGAACATGGCCATGATGAGAATGAAGAACAGAGAAAGTAAATTGAAGATTACGTTGATAGTGAAAAGAGGAAGATGCACAGTGAAATGCAAGTTCAATAGGACAAGGACCAAATCTGAAAACAGCTTGAATACACAATTGGAACATCACAAACTTTTCACCCAATTTAGGCTGATAAAACCAAAAACATGTCACATCTTGTAATGATTTGTTAGTGTTTATGTCGAAAGCTTAATGAATACGTCTAATTATGGATAAGATTACTTGCTTTTAGTGCAGTACTGAAATATAAAATACATCTAATTTGTGTCTTTCTACCTATGTTTCCTGGATTTCTTGGCCCCAATTATACTAAAATAAAAAAAAAAAATACTATTCTTCAAATAAAAAGTTTTGGATCTTTGTCAAATTGAAAATGACAAAAGAGAAAAACGGAAAGAAATTCATTCTTAGTGATGTAATACTATACTTCAACAAAATGGTATGTGATCTTACCTCTTACAACAAGTTTGAGAGGGTTAAAAGCCCACATAAATTTAAGTGTAGATAGAACGGAAATGACACAAAATAGAAGAACAGCGAGATATTGGCACCGATTCATTGGCTATTCCTGTTCTCACCAATATTCTTCCAAGTGTTGCAGGCACTTTTTGTTGATCTAATCCACTAATCACTCACAAAAACATCCAAAACCCAAGCAGCATCAGTTCAAAAATTACTTTATCCTATAGGATCAGATTCCATAAGCAGTCCACCAATTCAAAAAGGGAAGAATAGCATCTAAAAATAACTTGGAACGGAGAAGCTTCTTTGACATGCGTGCCAAAAGCTGTGACCTATGGCCCCAAACAAGAATGTTTAGATTGGTTGGTGGGGTTTTCTCTTAAGAAGCTTTAGGGGTGATTAGAATTACTAATTGTCAAAAACAGATTATTCAACCTTATGAGTCACATCCCTCATGTAGTTGAAGTCAGCTTCGTGTCACTTTTGTAAACTTATGTCTAAGAGAATAACAAAATTGCCTTCAACCTAAAAGCAAATAGATAAGGGAAAAGGAAAGGATATAAACATACATGGATTCATTATATTTATATATGTTGATCAAATCACCACTCGCTCCTTTTCTTTTTCGCTCTTTATGTAAGCAAAAAGATTTCAAAGATTGATACCGTGAAATTTACATGACATAGTTAATAATGATTAGAGTAAAAATCTAAACTTTTTGCTTAAAATGGATCATATTACCAATAATAAATTAGGTGAATTTATCTTCTTGAGAATAAAATCTAATAGGAAAGTGAAAGGAAAAGATAATTTGAGGGAAGAAAACAAATGCTAGAGAGGGTATATAGCAGCTTCAGGAACACAAGTGCATCCTGAGATGGATATGGTAAGAAAAAAAGGTTTGGCCTTTGAGGTGTATTAACAAGAGAAACAGAGAAAGAATACGAGGAAATAAAGTTAGATGCTTTGTGGGGATGAACTTTATTAAAAATGCAGGTCCTTTTGACAAAAAGGAGAGGGCCATGGATTGGAGGTGGAATCATGTGCCTTGCAGAGGAATCTAATCAATGGTGCTTGTATGACTGTAACTAGTTTCATTTGTATCCCACACTCTTCTCTATTATCATAAATTATTAGTAGAAATGAAGCTATGCCATAGGGCTAGTTAAATTTCAACTTTTTTCCTTCTAACTTGCACCCAATAAATGCAACTAAGTATTTAAATCTTTAAAAACTAAATGAGGCAGAGAAAAATATAGAAGTAAGAAAGAAAAACCACAGCATCATAGTCAACCTGCCAAATTGAGAAAGATGAGAAAATAGAGAGAAAATCTAGCAAGTGCATCGACAAAGCCGGGTTCTGTTTGAAAAGAAAGATACAAGAGATATAGGTGCTAGGCTGCTACACATAATAAAAAAAATTACCACATAAAACAAAGGAAAGAAGACGAGGTGGATAACGAACGAACCAGCAAGGAGGGAAGCGGAAAAGCGCCCCTAAACCCAAAACCTTGGCGAGAGAGAATGGAATCCCATTTTCCACTGCCTCAGCAACATGCACTGCTCACAGACATTCTCTCTCTGTCTCGAATCTAATATCACCCAAAACCCACTTCCGTTATCAGAGCTTTCTCTTTCTTCGGCTCTCTCTTTCTCTGCCTCCAAAAAAATCCAAAACAAAATTCCATTTTTGCTCCTCCTTTACTTGCCCAAAGCTCACTTAATACTTTTTCTGTTTCTTTTTGTACTTTGCCAGAATTAAAATGAGACCATGACGACGTCGTCTCAGCAGCATCCACCACCAGCGCCCAAGACGGTGCGGAAAGTGATCGTTGAAGTTGTCGACGCGCGTGATCTTCTTCCCAAAGACGGTCAAGGAAGCTCCAGCCCTTACGTCATTGCCGATTTCGACGGTCAAAAACAGAAAACTTCCACGATATACAGGGAGCTTAACCCGGTATGGAACGAGGCGTTGGAGTTCACGGTGTCCGACCCGGAAAACATGGATGTGGAAGAGCTGGAAATTGAGGTTTTTAATGATAAGAAATTCGGGAATGGCAGTGGCCGTAAAAAGCACTTTTTGGGGAGGGTCAAGTTGTACGGGAGCCAGTTTGCTAAGCGAGGAGAGGAAGGGTTGGTTTATTTTCCATTGGAGAAAAAGAGTGTTTTTAGTTGGATTAGAGGTGAGATTGGGCTTAGGATTTATTACTATGATGAGATTGTTGAAGATCAGCCTCCGCCAGAAGAACCACCGCCACAGCAGCAGCAGCAACCGCAACAGCCACCGCAAACTGAAGAGACCAAACCTACTCCCGGGCTTCTTGTTATCGAGGAAGGTACGATTTTTGAGGTTCCTACTGCACACATGGAGTTTCCTCATGTAGTTAATGGATATGGTCACGGTCCTGTTCCCTGTTATCCTTCGCCATCCGTTATGGTTGTCGAGGAATCTCCACCACACGTTGTTCATGTTCAAGAGGAGCTGCCGCCTCCAGCGGCGACAACGGCTTTGCCACCACATACGGCTTCGAGTATTCCGGTTCCTGAGGTGCATTTTGCTGTGCCAGAAGTGAGGAGGATACAAAGTAGCAGAGGCGAGAGAGTTAGAGTTATGAAGAGAACAAATGGAGACTATTCACCTAGAGAAATTGGGGCTAACAAACCTCAAGATGACAACGCCACCGCGGCAGGGGCCGGCAGCTCCGAGAGGAACCATCCGTATGATCTAGTTGAGCCGATGCAATATCTGTTCGTTAAAATCGTTAAAGCGCGTGGGTTAGGTCTAAATGAATGCCCCTATGTTAAGATCCGTACAGCCGGCCAGCACCTTAAATCGAAGCCGAAGATTTACCGTCCAGGTGAACTAACCGACTCGCCCGAGTGGCGCGAGGTGTTCGCTTTAGATTACAATAAACAAGAATCAGCCAACGCGACGCTTGAGATCTCCGTTTGGGACTCTCCAACAGAAAATTTTCTTGGAGGCGTTTGTTTCGATCTCTCCGATGTTCCCATACGAGAGCAACCAGATAGTCCTCTAGCTCCGCAATGGTACCGGCTTGAAGGCGATGCCGTCCAACAGAATCCCGCTAGGGTTTCTGGTGATATCCAACTTGCTGTTTGGATCGGCACTCAAAACGACGATGCTTTCCCTGAAGCGAGGAGTTCAGACGCGCCATACGTGGCGCACACTCGCTCGAAAGTTTATCAATCGCCCAAGCTTTGGTATTTGAGATTGACTGTGATCGAAGCTCAGGATCTTCACATTGCGCCGAATCTACCTCCTTTAACAGTGCCTGCAATTCGAGTCAAAGCTCAGCTAGGGTTTCAATCTGTACGGTCTAGGAGAGGAAACATGAACAATCATAGTATCTCTGTACACTGGAACGAGGACTTGATCTTAGTCGCCGGCGAACCTCTTGAAGATTCGTTAATTCTGTTAGTGGAAGACCGGACAAACAGGGACGCGATTCTTCTTGGCCACGTCATGATCCCGTTGATCTCAATCGAGCAACGGATAGATGAGCACCACGTGGCATCCAGATGGTTTGGGTTGGAAGGAGGAGTAGGCGGTGGGGGCGGGTCATCCAGCGGGAGAATTCACCTGCGGCTGTGCTTAGAAGGTGGTTATCACGTGCTGGATGAAGCGGCACATGTATGCAGTGACTTTAGACCCACGGCTAAGCAGCTTTGGAAGCCGGCTATTGGGGTTTTGGAGCTGGGGATTCTCGGGGCTCGCGGCTTGCTCCCGATGAAATCCAAAGGAGGACGCAAAGGGTCCACCGATGCTTACTGTGTTGCCAAATATGGGAAAAAGTGGGTCCACACTAGGACCGTCACGGACAGCTTTGATCCACGCTGGAACGAGCAATACACGTGGCAAGTCTACGACCCTTGCACAGTCCTAACTGTCGGCGTTTTTGACAACTGGCGCATGTTTGCTGACGTATCAGAAGACAAGCCCGACTCTCGTATTGGCAAAATAAGGATTCGTATATCAACGCTGGAGAGTAACAAAGTGTACACCAATTCGTATCCATTGTTGGTTTTGACAAGAATGGGGTTAAAGAAAATGGGTGAGATTGACTTAGCGGTTCGGTTTGCCTGCCCGTCATTGTTAGCAGACACGTGTTCGGCTTACGGGCAGCCATTGCTTCCAAGAATGCACTATCTCCGCCCACTCGGGGTGGCTCAGCAGGAGGCATTGCGTGGAGCTGCAACAAAGATGGTGGCGCAATGGTTTGCAAGGTCAGAGCCACCCTTGGGGCGGGAAGTGGTAAGGTACATGTTGGATGCGGATTCTCATACATGGAGCATGAGAAAGAGTATGGCCAATTGGTTTCGGATTGTGGCACTTCTTGCATGGGCACTCGGGTTGGCAAAATGGTTGGATGATATTAGGGGGTGGAGGAACCCTGTTACTACAGTGTTGGTCCATGTTCTATATTTGGTGCTTGTTTGGTACCCGGATTTGATTGTGCCAACAGGGATTTTGTATTTGGTGTTGATTGGTGTTTGGTATTGTAGGTTTAGGCCGAAGATACCTGCGGGCATGGATATCAAGCTGTCTCAGGCTGAAACAGTTGACCCGGATGAGCTTGACGAGGAATTTGATACGATACCAAGTTCAAGGCCACCTGAGATAATCCGGGCCAGATATGATAGGCTGAGAATATTGGCAGGAAGGATTCAAACTGTTTTGGGTGATTTTGCAACGCAAGGTGAAAGGGTCCAGGCCTTGATGAGTTGGAGGGACCCAAGGGCTACGAAATTGTTCATTGGGGTCTGCGTAGTCATCACATTGATACTTTATGTGGTGCCACCAAAAATGGTGGCTGTGGCATTAGGATTTTATTATCTAAGGCACCCCATGTTTAGAGACCCCATGCCACCGGCTAGCTTGAACTTTTTCCGGCGGCTTCCGAGCCTATCGGATCGGTTACTCTAGAGTTGAAGAGTACATGCATAAAATATCATTAGTGAATGTTTTAAAGGGGGTGAAAAACATACTACTGTTTGTGTTAAATTTAAGGAGTGAAAAAAGGGGGGATTTAAAGGGGAAGCGGCAAGTTGTCATTACATTTTTTCTTTTTTTTGGTGTTGAATTGATTGACAGACTATTGAAAACTTGGAATAAGAGAAAGGAGGTGGGGGAAAGACAATGAGAACGGGGAGAAAATTGAGTGCTGAGATGAAAAAGGAAATTTCAATAGGGTGAGAATGATTGATGTAAAAACATCAACTGAAGTAAAAAAATTGAAATTACTTTCTACCATGTAAAGCCTACATTTACTTCCTTTTTGCTTCTACCCGGGCTAGCTACTATTATGTTTCATTTTTCCTATTGAGAAAATGCAGTTTGCTGGCAGTCAGCACTTTCATGCCTTGGTTCATTCTCACCGGTGATAATGCAACACTCTTCTTGACAACTTCACTGCTCAACTTGCTGCTAAGTTCTCTATAAAGGATCTTGGAGATCTCTTCTATTTTCTAGGCATAGAGGTACTTCCTACATCCATTGGAATTTTGTTGTCTTAACGAATAAATATACATGATCTTTTGGAGAAAAAAAATGCTTGATGTTAATGACGTCCATAAACTGTCTCCAAATCAGAGATTTAAATTGCAATCATGATTTCAGTTACGTTGCATTTATCATAATTTTAGATATAATGAAAATCATTATGATCATCGTAATTATTGTGGTCGTAAATTTTTTTTTTTTAATTTTACATAACTTGATATAAAATGTAATAATTATTGTAGATATTCAATTTATTTCGGGGTCTAAATCAGTTGGATCCGATTTAATTTCAAAGCTAGAAGCCCAAATCAATTAGGCTCAAATTTGATTCAAGCCTATTTGTCAAAATTGTGTTTTTACTTTATTTATTTATATATTTTTTATTTATCCCTTTTATTTTATTTTATTATTTGTTTTATCTTGCTTATTTGTTGTTTATTTTTATTTTCTTATATTTATCTAATTTTTTTAAATGTATATGGATATTTCAAAAAAAAGGATAATTGAAAAAAAAAAAAGAATGAATGGCCATAAATTACAAAGAAGTGGCTAATGATAATGTAGTTTTATTATGATTAAATTTGAAGTTAAATTTTTCAAAGATAAATTTTATTATGATAATCCTAATTTTTGGAATTGGAATCAATCTAAAATTCTCCTTATTGTATCATGTAAATAGATCTTTAAACCACATAACAAAGCACAACAATCAAAGAGCAGAACAAAGCACAACAATAAGAGAGAAATTTGAAAGAAAAAAAGAGGAAAAAGTGAGAGCAAGGGTTTGACAACAATTGAATGTAAAATTTTGAAGTAATTATTCAGACTTCGACGGTCAATCCTAGAATCCAGCAACCTACACCTAAGTCGAGTCGAGCCGTTTCCTAAATCTTTTCAGTTAGTTTCGTGCCTACAATCGAGCCACACCTACCAGCTGATCCGAGTAGATTCCTGTTTTGGTATTTTTTTATTTTATTTTATTTATTCATTCATTTATTTACTTATTTTATTTTGTTTATTTATTTTTAAAGGATTTTTACATGATTAAATTTTTAAAAAAATTAGAGAAGAAAATTAAGAAATAGAACAAAATAAATAATATAATAATTTTTTGAGAATAAATAATAATTATCCTACAATAGAATTTTTAAAAATTTCAAATGATAAATTTTTAAAAAATTTTAGGTGAGAAATCTTTCTAAATTAAACCCAAATGCTAGAATAATTTAGATAAAGTTTTAATAATAATAATTAATATTTATTTTCAATTCAAAGATAAGAAAACAAAGAACAAAAAAAAAAAAAAAAGAAAGAAAATTTTCTAAATAGACCAAAATGGTGAAAAATTTAAAAATAAAACTTGTAAAATAAAAAATAAATTCTAATGATGAAATTCTTAGTAATCACAAATAGTTGATTATCTAAGACATTTTTAAGTGAGAAGATATTTCTAATTTTGGGCCAAATGGATGATGAATTAGAAATATTTTCAAAATGATTCAATTTTTTCGATAATGGAACCTCTTCAATAAAACAAATGAGATTCTTGAATACTTTTAAGGTGTGAAAATATTTTTAAGAGTTTTGCCATAATGATGAAGAATCTTAAGAATTATTTTTAATATTCAACATAAAAATTTAAGACCATTAGAATCAAGACCTTAAGATAAATTTAAAATTAAATGATACCATCTTATGATGAACATTATGGGGGTGCTATAACCTTCCTCATATGTAATCAAACTCTCGAAACTAATTCTGTTTAAAATGTCAGAATCTATTCTTTAGGGACCTTTAGTCAAGCTTAGGAGCTCTCTAAAATTATAAATTTATTAGGTGACCAATCACACATAGTTAAAAAAAAAAAGATTGATGGTAACTCCATTTGTTAAGTCTAACTATAGATTTATGGATTTATATGTTATGACAATTATAATTATAATTATAAAAACTTTTATTTAATGATTTTTAAAACAGTTTATGACACTCTATGTTTCTTATTTTCTAAAAAAATTATTTACAATTTTATTTAAATTATAATAAAGCATTCATATTTGGTTTAACAACAAAATTTTTATTTGAGCCAAGTTCATATTCAATATTAATTCTAGACAAATCAAAATATTAATCAAATATAATATATTAAATACCAAGTATCCATATTTAATAAAATTACAAACTTAAAAATATAATAATTTCAAATTCCATCAATTATAAATTAATAAGAATTAATCTAATAGTAAAAGAATTGACAACAATATAAATACCAAAATAACAAAAAAATTATTAAATTTCAAATACAAAATCATAAATTAATAAATAACAAAATCAAATTATAATATTTAATTTTAATTATTTTTCATCTAACTTATACAAAAAAAATTTATTAAAATTTTTCATTTAAAATCCATATATATATATACAAAATTTTAAAAATTATAAAATTTTCAAATTTAGATTTTAATAAAATTAATTATGGAATTAAATAAAAAAACCCCCACCCCACCCCACTCCTGCGCGTCTTACTCAATAGTAGACAATCCCTCCACCCAAAAATTTTCCCCAAATTTTGATAAACCAAAACCCTTATCTTCAATTTTTCTTTGCGTCTCCTTCTTCTCCCCTTTTCTTCTCTATGCACCTATCACTTTTTCTCGCGTACCCTAGTCAATGTCATTGCCAACAAAGCACCTCGACTTCATCTCTTTTAGATTCTCACAAAAATTAATATTATTTTACAAAAATTTTATAAAAAAAAATAGATAATTTAACTTTCTTTTACCTTCTTTTGATTTTGATTGTTGATTTAAGATTTGAGGTTATTTGAATTTAAATAATTTGTGGATTGAATTAAGATTGTTACCAATTGAATAATTGATAAATGATTTGATATTATTTTTTAACTTTTTTTTTTATTGATTTTGAAACTAAAAATATGATATTTGAGTTATCTTTTTGCTTTTGTTTTTTTCTTTTGCTCTTACAATCTTTTTAGTTACTTTATTTGTGTTGAAATTTTTTTTTTGTTTAATTTAAATCGGTAACTAGGAAAATATAGATAGCGACAATAACAATCGTTATGTCTGCTATTTCTTGTTACATTAATTTTCAGCGGTCGTTATGTATCGTTTTAAATGTGATTCAATTTTTTAATTATATTTTTTTTATAACGATGACAAATGATGATGTTATCGTAATTTTATGACCGTTGTTTTGCTATAAAATCGCTATTTGAAATCATGCTCCAAACAATATTCCTAAGCTTCATGATGATGCTTCTCTCACTGATGAAAAGGAGTATCGATCCGTAGTTGGTGGCTTACAAAACCTCTCCCTTAAGTGACCAGATTGCATTCTCAATCAACAAGTTATTTCAAATCATGCATCATCCTACAACTCGACCTCAACATTGGTCTGCCGTTAAACATCTGTTTCAATATCTTCGTCGCACAATCAACCACAGCCTATTTCTTCGATGTCACTCACCAATGACACTTTGCGACTTCTTTGATGCAGACTAGGCTAATAACATTGACGACTGCACATTTATCAATGCTTATGTTGTATTCCTCGGTCACAATACTATCTCTTGGAGCTCCAAGAAACAAAGGACAGTTGCTAGGTCCTCTACTGAAGCTGAATATCGAGCAGTTGCCTCCACAACAGTTGAAATTACATGGCTCCAATTATTGCTACATGAACTCCGAGTTCAATTGCCCACTGTTCCTGTAATTTATTGCGACAACATCGGTGCTACTTATCTATGTGCAAACCCTGTCTTCCACTCACACATAAAACAGATTGCCATAGACTTTCATTTTGTTCGAAATAAAGTACAGAACGGTGAACTACGAGTCTCTCATGTTTCCTCCAATGATCAGCTCGTCGATGCTCTTACAAAGCCTCTTTCTTGCCAGCAATTGCAATCACTACGAAACAAGATTGGTGTTCAGTCACCAACCACCATCTCGAGGGGGCATAATAAGAAAAATGCATAGTCAAAGATTTTTCAGTTGTCTTTAACTTGTAAATATTTTATTTTAGAAAATCCCTCTATTTAAGATATTAGTAATTAGGTAATAATATTTGATAATAATATTTTAATCATTAATTAGATAATAATGTTAGATAATAATAGTCTTTCCATTTTTTTTGTTCTTTGGTCTACTGTATATATTATAATGTAATTCTTTTATCGATACAAATTGAGAATTCTTTTCATTTCACAATAATCACTTGAACTCTGGTGCATGTTCTAATCAAAATGCCATCTACTAAAAAATGTGGAATCTTTCAAAGGCTATTCAAAGCCATATTCATAATCTCAATTTTCTTTTTCATGGATTGTGCAAAATGTTTTTAAGTATTCATTTGAAATGATATAATTTAGTGGGACAACTGATTTTCCATTCTCCACAGTTTACGTTCTGTGAGCTTTCTCATGCAATGGGGTCAATAACAAATTTGGTGGGCTTGCAGATTCCATGGCATCCTCTTCAAACATAAGCTATAATGCCCTATGGGCTATGGTGGGCTACGGTGTCAGACAGTAACAACATTGTTGTGGTAGAAATCATGATGTATGGTTGGCACTTGGCAGCTCTCACGATATATAATTTTCCAAAAATTTGACTTAGAGGCCAACATGTAGGGCTTGCATTGCATGGACATCCAAAATACTATTGGCATCTCACTCTTAGTGCTATTTTGAAACTCCAAATTTTCTAGAATCCTGGCGAATGGTCCTTCAATCCTCATCACTCTGGATGGACTGAATAATCTAGATGAATGGGCCTAGCCTTTTGAATATCTCCATTAAAAATCCGAAACCTCAAAAATAAAAATAGTATGAAAATGAAGTAGAGAATGTTTACCATACAAGGGAGTCATTCATATGTGGATATTCATAATTCTCGCTTAAACAAAAGCACCTCATCCATTAGTTAGATGGATTGCCATTGAAATGCTAACATAAGGTCAAGATCACTGATTATAATAGGCTAGATCATTGAACTAAAATTATAAGGTTGCCCTGCAATTGCATGAAGGACACAAGGGTGGAAATCAGCCCAAGAAGTGCAACAACTAAATTTCATTGAGATTTCCAGGTCTGTCAATCCATTTTCTAATATTGCTTTAAAACTAGTCTCAAGCCGATTTGGAATCTAGAAAATGAATGGAAAGAAAGCTAAAAATGTATCTGTTTTGGATCTAGATCTCCATCAACACTTCAACTATTGAGCAATTATATTACATTCTGCCAAAAATTGACTAGTATTCCATAAACCTATAATTATAAACGCATCCCTTTCTTTGCATTATCGAATTTATGACCGGTTTACCCTAGTGTCAGATTATTCTAATCGAACTTTGTTTTTTCATTTACGGAGGAAGCTCATTAATCTAATATCTACAAGCTATGGAAAAGACAGCAGAAACTAAGAAACATGACGATCATATGGAAAAGAAGCATAAGAAAGAAGAGAAGAACGAGGGAGAAGATCATAAGGAGGAAAAGGAGAAGAAGAAAGATAAGGAATATAAGGATAAGGAGGATAAAGAAGATGGTGGAAAGGAGAAGAAAAAGAACCCTGAAGATAAGAAGAACCATGAGAAATTGAGGGCTAAGCTTGAAAAGATAGAATCCAATATACAGGATTTAACCCAAAAGAAAGAAGAAGTTCTAAAACTCCTCGAAGAAGTAGTGAAAGCTGCTGCCGCTTCTACTGACAGACCAAGTGGCTGAGCCTAGCAAAACTCCTTAATTCTCTTCAGGTGGCACTTGCTGCATAAATGTAAGTGCTTCAAATTTAGGGACTAGGCGCATATGATAAATGTGACAATAACACTGTAAATTAATTCTGCAGGAACTCTGACAATTTACAAGCTAATGGAAATTGAATTTTTTTCAAAGAGTGTAAAATTATTCGATCATACCAAAACAAGACAATGTTGAATGATTGATGTTTGATAACTTATGTGGGGAATGAAGCTTGGTCCGGGAGCCCGGGAGCTATGCAGTAAGTAAAAGAAGTTGCATCGTCCCGGACCAAGCTTTATTCCTGACATCGAAATTTTCTGCTAAAGTTTATGCCTCAAAAGCATGCAGCCGATCCAATGCCTCCCTTTCTTAAATGGTTCTGAGCAGTGGGAGACATATTAGGGTTTGCTTCGTACGTAGAGGTGCAAGATTCATAATCTGCATGTTGATCAAATGTCAGAAAAAACAGGAAAAATATTCCCAATGACCAACTAATTCACAACCCTCTAATGTCACTTTGATTAGAAAGAGATAATTAAATTGGTGAAAATTTGGCTTTTTATCTTGCTTTGATGTGATACTTCCCTAGCTAATGCAACTAATGAATAGAAGAGGATAAAATGACAAGATTCTTGGTTTGGTTTAGGGACAAAACAACTTACTGTCTAAATGAGACAAAAACCATTGAATAAGCACTCCATTTCCATCTTATTTTCTTCCTAAAAATGTTGACTTTCCGTGATATGTGAAGAATGGAGGACATTCATCACAGGTATTAAGCTTTGAATTCACACAGAACACTGCAACTCACATTGCAGTTTTGTATTTCGAAATGATGGAACCGTTTCTCCCCATTGCTATGGTAAGTGTATTGATTGATACAAAATGAATCAAATAAAGGCTAGAAATTAACGGCCACATTTCATACAAAGTGACTGGATCATCATTAAACATATTTTTAGGAATGTGGTTGTAGTATGCTTTTAAAGTGCCTTTTATCCTCATTATCTTGTTGCCAGAGCTTTAAACAGTATCCGAGGAACAATCAGTCATGATTTATCATACAAACTTTGCAAAAGTGTTTAACTTTCGTTCTGTTTCTATATATTCACATGCTGCTAAAGCTTTTCATTGTTATGTGTTTGTACAATGTGACCTTCAATTTGCCATGATAAAGGAACCTTCATTCAAGAATATAATATTATACAAAAACACTAGTATAATCACATCAAGAGTAAATGAACCCTGTTTTTCTACCTGCTCATGGTATTCAATTAAGTTGTCACTGAATTAGAACAAAGTAGCCAAATCCCAGATGATGAATCTCATAGCCTGGCAGTTTCGATAGACCCCGTTTCATTGAACACGAATTGGTTCCTGGAAATTTCGTTTTATACAGCACTCCTTTGTTTGTCAGTACTTTGGAAACTTCCCTTTTGGCTGATTCTACAAATTCTCATGAATCCTGGTTAATACTTTGCTATAGGCAAAAAAAACTAGAGGTTATAACATCGTTTGATCTTTAATACAGATTTAAAATTGTTTTGATAAGCACTTCACCTTTTCTTATATTTTAGACTGTCAAGATTTGAATCCTTCTCACTGCCAACACGTTATACAGTTGTTGACATAGGCACTTCACATTCTTCACATATACTTAACATCTAAATTTCGGTTAAATCTTCTCTACACGGATTATGCTCGTCAACAACAACCAGTACAGTTACAGCTCGGCTATCAAAGTTTCACCTGGAGTTTTAACTTCTCATACCAAAGTAATTTTTCTCCTCTTAATCTCTTGATGTTTTAAGTTTGCTTTTCATTACTCCATTTTGATCCAATGGTTTTAACAGGAAAAAAAATGAGAAACACTTCAGGATTGCTTGTTTAATTGACATGCCATTACAAAAAAAAAAAAAAAAAAAAGTGCTTAGAAATGAAATTGGGGTCTGTTACCAATATAACATCTATAAAAATAGAAAATTATGAAGTCCATGAACTTCACAAACCTTTACCGGCCATACCATTTGTAATATCACAAAAATTAGGATATGGTTAAAATTTTATATTATATGCTTTTAGTGTATTTTATGATTATATTGTTTCAAAAAAATTTATTTCTTAAATTTTTAATTTCAATTCTTGCTTTGCCATAATTAATATTTTGGGCTCAATAAGATTATTAGTGTAAAATATTCTTTACAAGGGTCTATTTTAGTTAAATTTTATTTTATGTTCTCTATACTTTTGACAAATAGAGTATTGGGGAAAAGGGAAAAACTAACCTAGAGAACAGAAAACAAGCAAAGGAATGGCAAATGGATCTTGAGAAAACACTAATTAAGGTGAGAATTTGGTTAAAACTCTTTAAATTTTTATAGTTTGAATAATATTTTACAAAACTCAAACACTTGTTTTACACTTTTTCGACTTTCCAAAACTATCAATGATATTTCGATGGAATTGTGGATACTTATGATAAGGTCTTTTTAAGATATTTTTATTGGTATGTATGACATTTCTTTTGATTAATTAATTTAAGCAAGTTGAATATTTCAAGTTTGTTGATTTTGGATATTTGAATATTCAAATTTGGGTCACCAAAACTGTCTTCTGGTGGGTGGTTGGGTCGATTTCTATTTGATTTCGATATTTTACAATTTGTTCTTTCTAGTGATATAATTAGTTCAATTAGATATATATTAAGATAATCAAAACTCCAAAGTAAGCTCAATAAATTTGAAAATCCAAAAATCTAAAAGTTTGAGCAGTTTTTTTATTTTAGCAAAGATTCTGCTCATAAAATTTATGATTCTTGAAATCATTTTTGTCGAAACAAAATTCGAAGTTACATTATTGCATTCCTACTTTAAATCTATGTTTTTGTAAACACCATGGGATGTGGAAGATTTAATGGCTCTAAATAAGCCAATTAATTAAAAAATGTTGAAATTTCAAAATTACAAAATATATTTTTAATTATATTAAAAATGATTTTTTGAATGTTAATTAATATGTCTATTTATTAGCTATAAATTAAGTTAATTCAGATATATTATTTTATTGAATTTTTAACTTTGTAAAAAACATATTCTTATGAAACTTTTTTTCATGTAAGTAGCTTTTTTAAAAACCTACGAGCTTACAATATGAAATTTATTTAATGTTGTGATTAGATTTTCATCAAAAATCACATTTGAATCTGATTTTATGTTTTTAAATTTTAATTTTCAATTTCACTTAGTTTTAGATATTTTTCTTAATAATAAGGAAAAATGTTTTAATCAAGAATTATATTACTCCTTTCCTCCCATTTTTTCGTCCATCTTTTTTTTAGATGTTTCAAAATTATAATCTCTTTCTTTTTTTGAACATTTAAATTTTTACTTTTTATTTTAAAATTACTATTTTTTATTTTTTATTTTTTGACATTAAAAATCATGAATCTTTAATTTTATAAAAATAGTTTAAAATTTAATATTAAATACATTAAAATTAAAAAAAAATTTCTTAAACTCCATAAAAGTAAATAATACCTAAACAATTTGGGATGGAAGGAGTACCAATTAGTTTTGGTTTGTTACGGAGGGTGCCACACAACTTAAATGTCTTAAGATCACCAGGGATAGGTTTTGCTTTGTTAAACTTTATATTTTCATGTTAATTTCTTATATTTGAATAGTATCTTAAATTATTAAGATACTATGAGATTTGTGTGATCTACTTGAGTATTGATTTGTGAATTAGATAAGTGACTTGGCGTTCTTTCGATTTTTATATCTTTAAAAATCATCTTTAAACAATTGCTTAATATATAAGTTATAAATGATATTTCGTCTCTTATTTGGTTAAATCGAGTTAAGCATGAAAAACATGTTTCTTTGTTTCAATCATGAAAATTATTTTGTTCAATGATTATGTTTATCTCCATGACTATGGTTTTATCATTTAATTTAGTTTTGCAAGAAGTATACATATATATATATATGTATATGTATATGTATATGTATATGTATATATGATTTTTAAAAGTTTTTTGCAAATAAGAAAATGATATTATTGTTCATTATGTGTAATCTAAAATTATTTGTTTTGAATTGTTCCTTCGTACGCTATGTTTTGGTACATCATATTCTGATTCTATCAATAAAAGTTAATTTTCGACAATGCCAGATATATTCTGCTATTAAAAACTAGTTTTGAACCATCCTCTAGTTTAGAATATTGGTCTTTGTGATATTGATTTATGCAATCATTAGTCGCTTCTAATATGTGTTGCCCATACCACTAGGGTTAAATGTCGTTTTGTTATAATTCTGATCTACGTCACCAGAGTTAAGTGTGGTTATGATTATTGAAGGAAACACTTTTTAAATTAATTTATGATGTTGTTTGATTTTGTCATCTTGGAACAAAATTTCTTACAAATATATAATAACCCAAAATTTTATAAAAAAAGAATTATTTTGTTATTTTGTCATAAATGTTTTTATATTATTTAATCTAGTCGAAGGGATATCGATTATTTACTCACTTTTTTTTTACATTTTTACAGGTTCTTATTTTGGTCATGCATGCCAAAAATTTAAGGAGCAATATTTCAGAATTTTAATGCATATTTTCAAGACTTTTAAGGATGTTTTCAACATTTAGATATTTGAGACTATTTTCAAATTGTTTATTTGGGACTTTAAGTTTATGTATGAGTTTTATGTATTTCATTTAGATTCTTGTTTCAGATCTTTATTTTTAAGTACATGACCGATTGACTTTTAATAAATAATAATTGAGGCTTACCACTTTTCAAATTTTATAAAAAATTTCAGTATAATTAATGTCTTACATATTTCTAAGATTATATATTATAAGTGTGCAGCATATGTTATGACTCGGATTTAGGGTATGACACAATATGTGTTCAGAATGGACAAATTACAACCACAACTAAACGAGAGCAAAGGCAACAATAACTAAACATGCAAACG